TCCGAACCATAGCAGTATCGGATACAAGAAGCACAGTGTAGGATGATCAGATTTGCATAGTCACAGCCAGTACTATCCGGAACCACAAGGCGCGAGATCATATCCAGGTCGAAATTGGGATGAACCACACGACCCTGGATGAACGCCATGTGGATTTCTTGGCGGAGGGCAACTAGGAAGGCTGCTCGGCGGAGGCCAGAGAAATCACTCATCTTCTCCTGGGCGGCGATGAAGACTCGGGTACCCACAAGGTGGGATTCCGAAGTCAGCTCTGTTGATCTGCAGGGGACGTCTAGTTCTTCCATGAACCGTAGTATAACGATGGTGGTCAATAGATTCTCGTCCATGACGGCGGCGAGGCTCGACAGAGCAGGGATAAGCGTTTTGAGGCAGTTTTGATGATACTTGTCACCAATATAAGAGTCGAAATTACTCACCCGCCTCAACCGCTTAGCTGAGGCGGCCAAGATGGCGTTCATGAGAGGGGGACACAGCGCTGCTCGGCGCGGCACGACGGTGGCAAAATGTCTGTCGCCATCACAGAGATCAAAGAGTGGCGCCAAGTCATGGACGTAGTTCTGGAACAGCATGGCCTCAACGGGGTCCTCAAGTGGCCAATTCGGTGTCTCGAGATAGATGCCATCGATGACTTTGGCATGGCAATCACCTAGGGGTGAGTGGATCGAGGAGACCTGGGGGCTTGGGAATGTCTGAGTGTCTAATTCTCTGTGGAGACCGAGAAGCAACTGCTGGGTAATGACCGGGGAGTTGGAAAAGAGACTGAAGGGGCTTCCTGCCTCTGGGATGCTTTGGGAATAGTGAGAGCCGCGACTTGATGTTCGGGCATGAATTGGATCTGATCGTGGAGCCCCTGACCATGGTGTGAGTGCTGAGTGGCTCAAGGTCCGCTTCTTTTTGGATGGAGGGCCCCCGGAGGCGGCAATAGGCGAGGGCAAGTCGACGTCTAATTTGTCAGTGCCGGAACGGCGGTCCTTGTTTGGTGCGGAGGGCGACCGCGGCTGAGAAGAGTCGAGGCTGCCGGTCTCGGTCACCTGCATGAGATCAGGGGGCGAGTCGATGGAGTCGAAATTGCTGGTGCCGGTTCCAGAATCGAGCAGGTTGATGACATCGTTGGTCTCGTCAACAAAGCTTAGGGTGCGATTGGTCCGTACCCAAGGCTGATCATGGGCGAACTGGAACTCGCTGCGTCTAGATGCATCTTGGGCCCTTCGGGGTCGGATGCTGGGGTTCAACCCATGCCGGAATCGCACGCTATAGTTGCGGATGCATTCAGCATCACTCTTCCGACAGTTGGAGCAGGGACGCTCTAAATCGCCTATTGGAATGACAAATTAGCAATCAAGAAAAGCACCAAGACTCAGTTCGCCGCTCGAGGACGAGTTGGGGAATTCCAGGGTCTGCAACGATAGGGCGCAATCTTACATTTCTGATGTCTAAATGGGGAAGCGGACGGACTCCATATTAGCTGGGAATATCTCAACAAGGAAAGTAGCCAGACACGAGTGAAAGTAAGACGATGTAATATAGCGAATGGAGGGGAGAGCACCGAGTTGTCCCCGAGTGAATCTAGAACAAACTGACCTCTGTTTGCAAAGCTATGGCAAGGTAAGCCGAGACACCATCAGTCAGTCTGGGTTTCACCACAGGGTAAGGCAAGCAGGACGGGCGAACTTACTGTACACGGATCCAGCGGCTTGACTGTCGAGGTCGTCGTCGCCGTCTGCATCATGGTCTGAGTTTGACCGTGTGGGGTGTGGCCTGAGCGATCAGGCTCATGCGGAGAGTGTGGTGCCACTGCTGCCGTGAAGCTCAGAGATAAGCAAATCTGTCCTGGATCCCAGTCTGGAGGAGAGCGGAAGGAGATGCAATTTCTGTCTTGCCTCTGCTGATGGCGACGGGCGATGGTGATAATAGACGAAATGGGAAGGAACGGCTGAGAAGGGCAACTTTCCTTTTTGACTCAGTTTTGGCAACTTGGGCAGGAGCAACCCCGCAAGCGAACTCTACCCCATGGGCGCTAATCCGCGGGGAGCCAGTCAGAATGCGGCAATTAGTCGGGGGACTCCACAGTCTCCAGCTCGTCATTTTCCTCTCCACACCTCCTCCAGCCAGACCTCCTCGAAGGTCTGTCCAGATGCACTCCGCTTGCTCGCCGTGTTCCCCGTAGTCCCCATGGGGAAAGCGTGATTAGGATTGGATTCGAATTAAGGGCTGGAGGGGGTGCTGCTGCGGTTATGCCGTCCAGCCTTTGATGCGAACACTTGAACGCCCAGGACTGGGGTGAGTGGTGGTGACATACAGGAACCTCTGGCCAATCATGGTGTTGTATTTTTCATGCCTGGCTCACATAGTACTTTTACATTCTCCGCCCTGATTCCAGTAGCCTATCATCAAGCCACCATTTACATTTGGGGTAGACTCACCAGCCCAACACGAGTAAGTGGCACTATCACCAGATGATGGCTAATGCCACCAATCCCAGCCGCCCCACCCCTTTCTCACCCGTTTCACGACACCAGCCTTGATTCTATCCCCGCACACGGACCATCTCCCCAGAACGAACCATACCCAGGCTCGTTTGGAGAAGTATATAAGGGAGCGGCATGATCTTCGCTTCCCCAGATTCTCAGCCATCAGCAGCTTCATCCTTCTCAGTTCATAACTACCTTCTTCATTAAGAACCATCCGAGGCAGTGGTTCCCATCCACTTTCCTTCATTCCAAGCAGAAACCTTCACCATGTCGAGCGACGACATCAAGAAGGACATCAACCACGTGGAGGACCATGTGGTTGCAGACTCCACCGACCTGGATGATCTTGATTCCATCGAGCTCACCAAAACTGGCAGGTTCTCATGGCTCGTCTCCATCACGGCTGCCATCGGTGGCATGCTCTTCGGTTACGACACCGGTATCATCTCTGCCGTGCTGGTCTACATCAACAAAGATCTGGGCAAGGATCTCACACCACAAGAGCGTGAACTCATTACTTCCATCACCTCTGGCGGTGCCTTCATTGGTGCCATCTTCGCTGGTGCTACCGCTGATCGCTATGGTCGCAAGGTCGCCATCTATGTCGGCTGTGCTCTCTTCACTGTTGGAGCCATCCTTCAGGCAGCTGCTTTCTCCATTGCTCAGATGACTGTCGGACGTCTTGTTGTAGGCTTCGGCGTGGGCTCCGCTGCCATGATTGTCCCTCTGTAAGTCAAAGCCCCCTTTGTGTCCTCTTAAAGTCTTCCATCAGTCTAACAAGCGAATAGGTACATCGCCGAAGTCTCCCCTGCTAAATACCGCGGCCGAATGATTGGTCTCGACAACTGCTCCATCACCGGTGGTCAGCTTATAAGCTATGGTATTGGTGCTGGTTTCGCATATGTTTCCGGTGGCTGGAGATATATGGTTGGAGGCGGTGCTCTCCCTGCCATCCTGCTCGGTGCTCTGCTGCCTTTCTGCCCCGAGTCGCCCCGTCAGCTCATCTACTTCGGCAAGAATGAGGAAGCTGCTGCAGTCCTTCGACGAATCTACCCCAATGCTACGGAGCAGCAGGTTCAGGACAAGATCCGCTTGCTCAACTACCACGTCGATCAGTCCAAGACCATCAACGCTGGCAAGTCTGGCTGGTGGGTCTTCAAGCAGATGTACACTGTCCCCGCAAACCTCCGAGCCCTCTTTGCGGCTTGCGGTTTGATGGCCATCTCCCAGCTCACTGGTTTCAACGCCCTCATGTACTACTCTCCCACCCTTTTCGCTACCGTGGGCTTCTCAAACCCCGTCGCCGTCGGAACCGTCATCGCTGGTACCAACTTCATTTTCACCCTGGTCAATCTCTTGCTCGTTGATCGAGCTGGTCGCCGTAGGGTCCTGCTCTGCACTGTGCAATTCATGGGTCTCGCATTGCTCGTCGCCGCGGTCTGCTTCAAGTGGATCCCAGTCAACAAGGACCTCAGTGTTACGACTGATGGTAGCATCGGATGGCCTGCTATCGTCGTCCTAATCAGCATGGTCCTCTTTGTCGGTTTCTACTCTTCCGGTATTGGGAACACCGCCTGGCTCAGTAGTGAATTCTTCCCTCTCGAGATCCGCGCCATGGGAACCATGATGCTCACCATGACTTGCTGGGGATCTAACATTATCGTTGCTTCTACCTTCTTGACCCAGCTACAAAGCATGACTCCAAGTGGCACCTTTGGCTTCTATGCCGGCCTCTGTCTGACGGGTTACGCTCTGATCTACTTCTTCTATCCTGAGGTGAAGGGTATGACTCTCGAGGATATCCGCGAGGTCTTCCAGGAAGGCTTTGGTGTTGCAAAGGCCCGCGAGATCCAGAAGCGCATGAAGGAGGCCCGAAAGGCCGAGGCCACCAAGGCTTAAGCGCCAGGTAGGATCTTGGAGAAGTCTTCGTCGCTAGGAAAATAGATATATTCTGCCTTAATACTAGCTAGGTAGCACAATGGCGAACAGAAAACGACGATATATATAAATCAGATTTTAACTCGTGAAAGACGTGCATTTCTTCTGCCAATTATCCCCACGTGAATCTATTTGTATCCGTACTTGAATGTAAACTCGCTCTGAATTCACCGATATTCTTACTTATGAGTGAACCGCTCTTCCAAACCCGGATTAGTTCTCGATCGGCATTAGGGGCCGTGTACATTTTCACCTAGGAACCGATGGAAGTGCAACTATCTAAAGTGGGAGACGTGTTTGACTCTCGTGCTGCGAGACATTTTAGGTATAGGGCCAGCAACTTGATTCGGCTGAGTCAGTTGATTCAAATGGAGGAAGCATATTTGTAGCAAGTCTGGTTAAAGTGAGAAGGTGTTTAATGTTTTGTTAGACTAAGATTAATCTGGTAGATGTTAAGGAGAGCTGGCCACCACACCCGGAACCCTCCTCCATTGTATTGTCTCGAAATCCACCAAAGCGCTCCTAAATCTGACCAACCCCATTGACGCTCAACGGATCATGTCCGCACACTTAGTAAAGACCAACGACGACATCACCCTTAACACGGGCAGTCAGGTGGACCTCGGCCTCGAGATCGAGCTTGATGCCCAAAAGGAGGGCGGCGTCACGGAGAGAGCCGTCATCCTGGGTGGCACCCTTGATGAGCTGGCCTGTATCCAGTTCGATCAGCATTTGATAAAGCGCTCAGTGTTAGGACAATAGAAGGCATACCTGCGGGCTCGGCGAGGCCGGTGGAGGTGGGGAGAGGGACGGTGAACTGGGCAGACATGTTGATTGAGTTGGGAAAACGTTGAACGTTTTGGAAAAGGTTGGTAGATTGTTGGTGGTGAGAAGAGTGATGAGAAGATGAGTGATGATGAGAAGCAGAAGTAGGATTGATTGACGAGATTCAAGACTGTTTAAATACTCAAGAGCTGAATATACCCAAGAGAAACATAGCATAATGTCCACATGAGTTGATACTGCTCCCATCTATCCCAAGTCACCAAGAATCCGCCTGAGCGCATGGCATTGCAATGCAAAAGCCAATAAAACGCGCTCGATTTGTTGTTGGCATGCCATTGTCCAATCAAACCTGCTTTTTCACAATGCTTCCCTCGACAGCATGTCTAGAATGGCAAGCGAAATTTGCCAGCCAAGGGGAAAAAGCAAACCGAGGGACAATTATCAGGCGGCATAAGAGTCTGGATGGCGGATATGCAATGCCAACGAGGAACAAATGGGTCATGTCTCCTCGTAACGCCGGGCTTCATGCTCAGCCGACGTCCCTGATGCCCACAATGTTTGATATTCAGATGGTCCTGGAGGCTGCTGGCAATCAGCATCTTTTACTCGGTCTCAGTGTACGACCACAGGTGGTCAATGGATGATTCCATAAGAGCAATTTAGTAAGAAAAGTGGATTTTCCTCTCTATTCTTCTACTTTATGAAAATTCTAGCCCGTGTGTTGCTCACAATACGCTCAGTAGTGGAGTCAAAAATTCATGCACGCACGCAAGTAGTATTAGCATCGACGTGGCCTGCGTCGGGCAATGGAAAGCAAATTAATCGAGCAATGCCAATGCCAACAGGGCGAATCTAAATATCTGAGTCATCGTACGATGGGATGTAGTTGAGACTCGATAGGATCATTAACAGCAAAGTGACACAGTCATCTGCTAAAATCACGTCAACAGCACCTAAGGCAAGTGTTAAAGACTGGGCCGACCCCTCTCAGGGGGTTTCCTGTCCGGATCCTCAAATGCATCCATCGCCACAGTGTCTATGCAACTTGTGGATAATAGATTGCACCCTCCCAAGTGGCTGAAATAAGACATCGTACATTCAAGCGCTTTCACAGAGACTTGATTTTCGTAATAATACTAAACATAATAATTAGAAAATAGTTGATTGTTATACAATACTTAGCTTGATATTGTGTTTCTTATTAGACTAGTTGTTCTAATATCTGTATCGAAATTTGTAGAGGTTCTAGGACTGTTATCAATATTTTACAACAGTCGCTTGCGCTGGCAACGCCTTGTTTATGACTGGAGATCTACAATAATCTCCCAGGAGCGAGTCTTCAATTCACTGTGGTATTGTTTCAGGCTAGCTATTATTGCGGTCATGGTTCCAGCACAGATGGGTGCCCATGGCCAACGGGTTGCCGCAATCAGGTGTGTCGCAGACATTGATCTTGCTAAGCTATCGGCGCACGCCATCTACATGAGGAGAACATGGAGCGTATCAGGGAACGAATTCCTCCGCAAGTCTCATAGACTGATCTAAGGGGCATTATGTTCTGAACCAGGCCGTTGACGCTTTTTCTGGCGACTGGGTACACAATGGTGTTTCTCAGGCTGATAGTATTACTGGAAGCACAGCTCAGAGTGTCAGATGCGCCAACACCTCTGACACCTTGAGGAATATATACATGATCAGTGCAGGAGAACAAGTTGAGATCCCATAGTTCGCTCTTCGAAGAGAAGAGGAGAGTATATTATTCATAGGCCTTAGAGATTCATTCCATTGCTTCGATCAGCTCCTTCCGTCTGCAAAGTATGCTAGGATGCCTCAGGCAGCGAGGGCCGGGTGAACGCACCTGCTAAAGCAAGTGGGAGGCCTTTCAAGCCTGAGCTTCTAACCTGTAGCCCTTTCTTTTCAAAACATTCCACAAGCCTTCCATCTCCAAGTAAGAAATTCAAAACATTTACAATCAACGATCTCCTAGCCACCATCAAATTCCAGCTACGATACGTGAGTCTCATCAGCAATATTTGATCTCGCCCATCAAATAATTTCTAACCAAGCGAGTTGGATAGAAACCATGTCTGCGCCAAAGACCACCCGCTTCCTCTCCAAGGTGGCCAGAGCACCATAAACGGTCACCGTTAGTATGACAGCACCGGCGGTTACAGTAAGTGTAAAAATACCTCTCTGGCAATACCTAACTTTTAATACTAACCTTACCATAGTTCACCGCGCTGAGGGATTACGCTCGGGAGTGCGTAGATGCGTAGTTGGTGTTGAAATCAAGGTCATTGGCAACGACGGAGGCGAGACCCTCGGGATTCTCTCTGGCTTCATCAGCCGCCTTGATCGCAACGCCCCAGCTACCAAGACCTCTACAGGGACTTCAACGCTAACACCTCCTCTCGCACCTCCTCCCGCACCTCCTCCTACTCAGACCGCCCCTATGGCTCCTATCACTAGCAGCACCGGCCGCCAGAGCCATATACCGCCTCTTTCTGGTCTCAACCGTCGAAGCAACGCCCATACTTCGGAGGAACAGTGGTCGTGTTTTTTTTTTTTGCTTCTGATGCAACAGAAGAGCGAGGAGTAGAAACTTTTTACTTTTATTGTTTCTACCGGAATTAATATACCCCAGTGAGTTCAGAGCAACAGGGACTGTAAAGGCGTTTCCATCTGATAGTGTAGAATAATAATAAATGTGTAATAATAATAACAAGAAAGTATTGTGTATTATTAAACAATAAGAAGCATTATTATGTGACTGGTTACCACCATAATTCTGTCGAGGTGATTTTTCAGTCTCTGGTTTCCTCGACAGCGCCTTACTATGGACTTGAAAGCGTTTGGCACATTTGCCGGGAAATAGATTTCGTTGTAAATCCCCTCGAGGCTTGTACTGGACTTCACTTTCAAACATTAGATTAATCTTCTCACGTGTCTAGCTACCAGCCTTTTCCGGCTACGGCATCGAAAGATAGAGGCGATATACTTATAATGTTAGTATACATGTCGATTAGTCCTTCTTCTTGCAATAATATCACGTTTACCTATCTCCGTCTTCTGTAGTGGGCAAGTGATTTTGCGCGGCCCCTCCATTAGTGCTCGGCACCTGTCTTGTTGGAATGTTGGAGAATAATATAAGGAATGAAACTCGGTTCTTTCTGATCTTCCTGTTTTTATGCAGCTTCGACTCAATGACTCACAGTAAGCTCTTTTCTTAAAGAAGAATGATGTTGTTGGAACAAAATCTCGACTAGATATAGAGAAGTTTAGTAGCACGAATCTAATTGAAACATAATTAATTTTAGATTATTACTTAACCAATTAATATAATGCTCGCATATGAGGGATTAGGTAACTAGAGTTTGGAGGTCCCTTTCGGGCTCTGAGGTAGACAAGTTTGCTGTGAGATTCGCATGACTCATAATAACAACACCTCCCCAAAAACGTGGAGGTGTCAGGCGAATCAGGAATGCGCAATGCATAATAAAATTATAACAAAGCATGGCGGCACGGGTGCCTGCAGGATCGTCCAGGGTCTGGTTTCGGTCAGCGCGGCACCACCAGGCCACCCTTTCACGCCATCTGCTTACTCCTCATTTGGAAACATAGGCGAGAGTTTACAGCCAATGGTTCTGCCATTATTGATTGTTCAAGAAGATCAAGATCCAGATCCGCGTTTTGGTATCACAAAGCGATCTTTCAACGATGGTGTCGTAGAGGTGGTAGAGTGGGAGCGCTTGTAGGGCTGAGCCTGAACCGGCGAGCCAAAGTGGCCTGAACCAAGGTAAGAGCCAATCCCAATTAAGGAAGAAATTTCCGAGGAAAGAGGATACCAAGGAGTTCGCCGTAATGAAGCCTGGCGGTGTGTGCCAGTTTGAGTCACTTCTTACCCTTGGCGGGAAGGTAATTTGCGAAGGACGTAAGTAACCTATTAGGCGTACTGCGTAATCCTTCGTGCTGCCATGTAGTATATTATATCTCTGCTATTTTCTGGATTTCTCGCCAGTCCTTTCTCTTATTCTTCTTCTTCAACAACATCACAGTCTCTCGTTCTAAAATAGTCATTCGTTATCGACATATAAAACATCCAAGATGCGCACCTCCATTCTCTCCGCCCTGCCACTGCTCATGCTGGCCAAGCTCGCCGCTGCGGGCTGCGAAACCCACACCTACGGAACATGCGAAGACAACATTGTTCACTTGTACGACCCGAACACCGGTGAGATCTGCGACCCTCTGGACTGTGGTGGTGGCCGTGCTCCCGTCAAGTACAACGTCCCGGGTTGCGCTGCCTACACCGGCACTGAGACCCGCAAGACCGAGCCCTCGTACATGCCTTGCTTCTCCAAGACTGCCGGGGTTGGCAAGGCTGCTTCTACTCTGGCGACAGTCTCTTCTGCCCAGACCACCACGGCCGCATCTGAGACAACAACGGCTAGCTCGATTGCTTCTTCTACGAGCGTAGAGAGCACATCTACGCAGCCTACATCAACAGTTGCGGAATCATCGTCTACCTCCGCTTCCACTTCGGCCTCTTCCTCTGCCGCTACCACGCCATTGACAACTCCCGCCCCTGTTCCTTCAACCACCAATGCTGGACCCAGCAATGGCACTATCTCGGCTACTTCCACCTTTGTCCCTCCAAATGCCGGAAACAACATGCGCGGTTCGGTGGCCGGTGTTCTTGCTGTGGCTTTTGCCGCCGCCGCTTTCATTTAAAGGTCGAAACATCTGAGCAACATGTGGTTGATGAAGTTAGATCGTTAATGATAATCCTTAATGACACGTTCTTTTCATAAATCATAAAATTTTCGTTGAAATTTCGTTGCTATCGAATGTAAAGTAAAGAAAAAGGTAAGAAGAAGGTGAAAATGAAGCTGATAGAAGTGTATGTTTCTAGGTTTATAAGAGGCCAAATGTCCACGAACTTGACCATCTGTAGGTTTCTCCGGGCCCGGTGAGTTGGTAGTCCTTTCTATCCCACTCCGGACTGCAAATTATTAGTAAATGTACATCGGTTGGTGGGGTTTGAGGGCCTGCAAACTGACTGGTTGATACCGTCTGGGTAATCATGGGCTTCGATTGCCACACAGGAGCTCCGCCCAACTGTAGTCCTGTCCTCAAGACCCTGCGTGCTCTTCAGATCTGTCGTGCCGCCGAACCAGTTGCAAGTATAGACTTGAACGCCCGGTTGATCAGTTCTGAGGTCGGCCTTGATCCCTGAAAAGTGGCTTCCGAGCGACACGACGACCGCGTCCTTGGGTGCGTCCTCGATGAGGAAATAGCCGTTGTAGCCTTCACACTGGCCGCCCGCTCCGCAGTGTCCGGCAAATGCGGGATCGCTCGAGGCATGGCCCAGCTCAATGCCCGGCTCACTAGCAAAATCATCGATGCTTCCCGGTTCCGCGACCCCGATTTCGCCCGTGGGGATGGCCGAGTCGGAGTTGACGAGATAGCGCTGCGAGTACGGCATGTACAATGTGTGGTTCCAGATCTTTTCAGTGTCTGGGTCCTTGTACGCATCCAGGTTGAAATAAGTATGCTGCGTTAGCATGACGGCTGTGAAATGTTAGACACATGCGCGGTGAGTATTGAAGAAAGAGATCATGCTACGCACGAGTCAATGCCTGCGGAGAAGTAGCCTCCATGGTGATCTTCCACACAGAGTCCTTGACGCTGTACGTCACCTTGGAGTAGACATCACCAATCATTCCTTGGGAGGAGTTGGATGTGTCGAGTATCGAGAACGTGATTGAATCTTTGGTGAATTTGGTCACGTCCCATGTTCGGAACGACCAGTTATTTGTGCCGCTGTGTAAGGTGTTCTCACCGTCATTCTTTTCTGTATGGAAAGTCTCATCGCCGATTGTGTATGAGGCGTTGCTTATCCGGTTCACATAGCGCCCGGGGATGGCATTATACACGGGGTGAGATGGGTCAACAGCTATGACGCCAGGTCTGTTAGACGATAGGGATTTAGTGGAAAAGCGATTGTGAGATTCTTACGGTAGAAGTCGGCATCATCATATCCAAGGACAACATCTACGTCATTCCCATCCTTGTCCTTGACGAATAAATTGGTCAAAGTCGCACCGTAGGGGATAAACTAACCAAAGTCGAGTCAGCACCATTTGTCGGGAATCAGTTCACTACCAATTACCTGTGCTTTGATGCCGTTGGCACGAATTGTGTATCGTCCGTCTGCATCAGGGGACTGGGCAGAGACAGCCCCCATAAGAGTAAGGGCGATCGCTACAGGCTTTAACATTGCGAAGAGAATCTTGTGATGTCAGATGTGACAGTCAGTGACAGTGGCCAGTATCAAATAGGCCTTCCTTTGAGAAGAGAAAGGGCTTCCATCCGTCCACGGTCCATACCCAAGCCTTATAAGCCCATGGGAATCCAACCCCGCACTTTTCATCCATTCTCCGGGTTCCAAATTTCCGTTTTCAATGAGAGTTTGAGTGCATGGAGGGACTGAATCCCACGGAGGGTCGTGAGCCGTCCCAGAATAGGCACACCCCTGCCACTCTGAAGCCAATGGTGAAGCTCGGTTCTCCGTTGATGGTCGGATCAGCTGCCCGGGTACCTGGTTCAAGTCCCTAGATGCAGAAGGTGGCTCTTACACGGGCCTTTGATTCCGTCTCTCAGTCGGTAATAAATTGAACTTATGATGCGTCTGGACGATGATTAATAAGTGTGATTCCGTCTTGTTGTTTGGTGCCAGTGTGTGGTGGAATCGAGCTGCGCTGAGATTAGATCCACTTCCCGATGCTTAGGTAGCTCGAGATTGATTTTTGCATCGATAAGAACAGGTGAAAAAGGTCTAGCAGACTGGATGATTACGATTCAGCAGTGGGACAGCTAATGCACATGTCACATAGGTTTCGTCAAGAGCAGTGATTGTGTTGTATCACACTTCCATTTGTTTGGCCTAACAAAGTACTACAGATTCTAAGGTAAATCCAACGAACTTGATTATGGGAAATCGACTCCCACCATTGCTGTACCAAGTCTTCTCCAAGCTCTGTCGAGTACCTGCCAGTGCGATCGCACAATCGGCCAAATCATAAACAAGCCTTCCAATCCAGAAGCTTAGATGGCGAGGCGCTCGATCTTGTCGCGCATGGCGCGGATCTGGCCGGCGAGCTCGCTGCCCTCGTTGGTGGTGATGCAAGCGGCGATCACGGAACGGGAGACACCGCAGGCTCGGCCCAGATGCATCTTGCTAGGCACGTAGACGTAGGGGGTGTTCTTGTCCTCGGCCAGGAGGGGGACGTGCAAGACGATCGAGAGGGGGGTCGTATCGGCGCAGAGGACGGCGATTTCGCAGACACCACGGTTGAGGGCCTTGGTAACTAAAAATTCGACTCGTTAGTAACTTGCCGAGCTTGGGGTCGTCTTGGATCCATGAACAAACCTTCGTTGGCACCCTTCTTGACCTGTCGGAGGTGCGTTGCGCGCTGGATCAAATCGAGAAGCTCGACGGTCAACTTCTCGTCGGCCAAGGGCCAGGCTGCAGGGCTCGAGTCAGAAACAGCATCAAAAGCAGAGGGTTTCTCGTGAGGAGGGACATACCTGCAGATTCGGAGGACATTGTTAATCAGTGGCTCACCCTAGGAGAGATCACTGCCTTGCTGAATTTGGATTTGTGAAGGATTGGGGATGTAGAGTTTTGCAGAGAATCTTCACAGACCAAAAAAAAAAAAAAGATGAATGCTAGGTGTGGTGGGGACAAATGCACGTGATCTGAAGGTGCCACACGCACCAGCCACAGCGACAGAGTTTTCACATCTTCACCGCCAGCTTTTCAGTAGGTTCAGTCCTAGCAGATTAAGTTTTACTTGCTGCTAAAAATCCTACTTCGCCCGAGAGCAGCTCCAGGTGAGAAATGATGTATTGAGTTTAGCGGTGAATGGAGGAGCAGTAGCTGTGCTCCCTGACGCAGCAGTGCATTGATTCCTCCAGAGAGAGGAGTGGTGAGGCGCAGCAATTAGAGCCTGCGACTCTCTAGAAACGCCTAACCTACAGCCACTAAAGTGAGGCGACGCGCGAGACCACCCTTGGGGGGGGGCTAAAATTGCTGTGCAACATGTCCCTTCTTCAAACATGATTCATTTTCAGTGCCGTGCTGTTCGCATTTTCCGATCCCTTGAGCAGCTGTGCCAAACGCGATTTTGTAAATTTTCATGAGCAAAAGCTTTCTTCAAATTAATCAAGGGCTACCTTCTGCATGTCTACATATTCTTAGGTACTTACTTTCAATGCTTGGCCGCCAGGAGTTTTCAACCCATCCAAGTACAGTCCAAAGTATCGCTGCATCTTGGAAAGGAAGCACATTCCATATTTTAACGACCTGTAGAGCCTTGTAGAGGAGGTGATATTGAGGGCACAAATACCGTAGCCTGGCACTACAAGAGTTCCCCACGGACCACAGCAGGGTGCGGCCACTAACGATCAAGTGCCCGTGGTGTCAAACCACCCTTGGGGGGGGGGGGTTAAAATTGCTGTGAAGGGGTCAAGCTTCACCTATCACATCTCGCGACGGCTGTGAAGAACACCAATGATATCCTAGAACTAATAATAGAACCGTGTCGCCGCATGTGATTTGCCAGGCGGACAGCGGGGCATTCCCTCAGCCGCTGAGAAGTTGAGGGGAGGGCTGAGCTGAGCTGACATCTCCCCGCCTGTGACGATCTTTGCTAGGCAACCTCTTGGAAGCAACTCGCGGCGGAATGAAGAATGTTGAGGCAAGCTTGCCGGAACTATGGTTTGTCTAAAGTGTCCGAATGACATAGCCTGGGTTTGGACTGACGAGAGAATAGCCGTTGCGACAGGTCTATCCTCACCCTGAGACACCACCAGGAGCTGCCTCCACCAGTGTTGAGTAAGTTGGCGCCTCTTGATTGAGTGAGTGCTTTACTCTAACCAGGATCAGTATTGTCGCTGTGCATGGGTTGAACCCTCGAAGCAGGGATGATACCGAGCACGCGTGGAACACATGGCGGAACCGAGCGAGTGGGAGACTGTGGCTCCGTGATGACCTTCCAAAATCCACTCCTGACGCCCGCATCTTCATCTACGAGTACAACGCGACGGCAGTCTATGGCAAGGACAAGAGCACCTTCGTTGACAAGTCAAATGAGCTGCTAGAGGCACTCAGAGCAGAGCGAGATGACGAGGAAAGGCCAGTCCTGTTCCTGGCCCACAGCATGGGCGGGCTTCTCGTCAAGCAGGCTCTCATCAACGCCGGCATGAATCCAAAGTACAGGATGATCAAACACATGACCAAGGGGATCGCCTTCTTCGCTACACCGCACCACGGCGGGGACACGACGCTGGTTGGCCTTGGCTCCATCGCAACCAAGATTGCACGAACGGCCGGCCTTCAGCAGGGTGATGACGTGCTGGAAACCTTGAAGAGTGGTACTATATTCTCCGATGTCATACACGAGCACTGGAGGCATCAGATGGTGGAGTACAATATCATTTCGTTCTGGGGTGCACTAGATACCGTGAGTCTTCAGGCATCTGGCTAATAAGCGTGGTTCATCATTAATTATTCATCCATAGGTCGTTCCGGGAGAAAGCGCCAAACTAGGCATGTCAGGCGACAGAGAACATATCGTCAAGTTGAACGCTGATCACAAGGGTGTATGCAAGTTCGGTAGAAGCCAGGTGGATGAAGACAACTTGGGGATTGTGCGCCGTAATATTCAGGACATTTACGATGCCGCGTTACAAGAAGGTGAGCAAACACTTTTCCCCCTAGCATAGGTAATGGGTTGATTGCCATTGTTCCTGCGCTAACGGTCCATGAAGTAGGCATTGGGAGTCAGGTTACCTGTCAAGCAGCTACTTGGCATGGTGTTACCACTCCGAGTGAGATGAACTCATTGAACCTTTCAAACTCAATAAACGGCCTACGCGCGGCGACAGAGCACCTATGCTCGCTAATTCAGTCCTTCTCGGCGTGCTGGAACTCGACTAATCGTTTGAGAGATTGTCGACAAGAGATAACACTGGTCGGAATTGGCTTGCGATCCTTTGAGCGATACCTCCAGCGACTTCATACAGTCGACCCTCAGCGTAAAAAGCTCATTCAAGTTGATGACCTCGTTATCACACTCTCCGATGCGATCATGGTCTTTTCAGAATTCGAAGAACTCCTCCAGCGACTCAAGACGATGAAGAATGCTGGTGTAAGGATAATTTGGAGTCAGTACTCCAAAATCTTCCAACAGCATCTTGAAAGAATCCAACGGCTCAAAGAATCACTTAAGTTGATGCTTACTATCGTCGAATGGTATTCTCAGAATCCTAACCGTGTACATCTGTCCTTGAATACTGTGCTAATGATTAATAGTGACACGAATATCGAGGCACATGAGAACAGGGAGAGGCTTCAAGAGTTGGTCGAGAGAGTCCTTAACGAGAATCAAGCCCTGAAATCGAAACTGAGCCTGTTGGAGGATCGCTTTGATGCAAGGAGCACCTTCACCCGGGATTTCGACGAGAGCAGCGAAACGGCCACGATCAGAGAGAGTGATACGGCGGGTCCCTTTCGAGACTCAGCCCGTCCTTCCAATATCTCGAACAGAATCTCATTCGCTTTTGAAAAGATTCTTCAGCAGTCGTGGGTCTACAAGCGGAACGAGCGGAACGACTGCGACCAATCATTCATTACCGCGACAACCGACGCTCGATCAAGGACGTGGTCAATATTTTCAGGCATAAGCATGGCGAATATCTCCATCTTGTCTGTGATAGCAATGCCAATTACCCTGATTGACATCAAATATGGCCATTACTACGAAGTAAAGTCCAGGTTCATGGATTCGGCACCGACCGCTGATGATGAAGGGGACATATCAGATCATCCCCAGATCTTGCCATATCAGTCTGAGCACCCTGAAACACAATTCAGCAGCCAATTTAACGAATTAACAGTCGACGAAGACCGAATAGAAGACGAGGATAGCGATGGGACCCTGAGTGACTGGGCGGTTCACGAAGGAATCTTTCCGTGCAAAGGTTGTGGCGAGGTAAGTTGCCAAGTTGAGGGGATCCCAAAACTGAGCGAGGCAGGATTAACTTTGAACTTAGATATTGGAGAGCGGAAAAGCCTTTGAGCTCGGTAAGTTTCCAGCTTTTTCTGGCTTGACCGAATCAGGACAATCACACTAACAGGCGTGGCAGCTGGAAATCGATGGCATTTGGATTGTTTCAGGTGTAGCACGTGCCATGTCCTGCAAGATAGCGACTCGAACCTCTTACTTCTGGGTGACGGATCACTAATCTGCAGCGGGTGTACATATACTTGCGATGCCTGCGGGAACAAGATTGAGGATCTCGCTATCCTAACAGAGAATCAAGCCTTTTGCGCGACATGTTTCCGTTGTAGGAACTGCAATCGACATATCTTCAATCTGACATACGCCAGAACCTCGCAGGGGATGTTTTGTATGGGTTGTCACGAGACAATAGTGGCCAAAACGAGGAGAAAGGCGGCTATTGCTGAATCAGGAAACGAGAGAGTTGGGGGGGAGATGACACTGCCTCAACTGAAGGTTCCTGAGAATCCTCCGATTGAATGGCGATATTCTGATTCAACAAAGGGAGAAGAGGAACAACCAGAGCCGGCTTATGACAACTTCATATAGTGTTATCATTTTGAAAGTAATTTTGCGAAATACACTTGTTCAGACTCAGACCACTCAGAATTAGCTTCGCAAAGATGATATGTATAAAAATATATTGTGTTTATATCAGACAACTCGTCTAGAGGGAAGAAATGTAACCCTTCTCGTTGCGCTTAAAATAACATCATTTCAACTCTAGGGAGTACACCCATCTATGCATCTAAATTACCACATGCGCGCCCACGTCCTGGCGACGAAGTTCATCTCGGCCAGGCGGGCCCTCTCGTTCTCCTCGATGCCGCCCTCCTCCCACTGGGCGCACTCGGCGTTGATCTCGGCCATGCCGCTGATGAGGTCGGCCTCCTCGGGCTTGACCCAGCTGAAGAAGGGCGCGCGGCCCTGGTAGGCGTACATGACCTTGCCGACGAGGAACATGAAGATGCCGAAGGCGACGGCGAAGTAGGACGTGATGAAGCCGCGGACGCTGAAGGGGGAGAAGACGTCGAAGCCGACGAAGATGATTGTGAGGGTGCAGATGACGAGGGAAAGGATCGGGGTGTAGGGGGTCCAGGGGGCGGCGTAGGGGAGGGCGTCCTTGGTGATTCCCTGGGCCTTGCAGGCGCGCCAGAAGCCGAAGTAGGTGATGAGCATCCAGATGTAGGTGGCGATGAGGGCGGTGGTGGTCAGGTCAACGAACCAGAAGAAGACTTCGACGGCGGCGTTGGAGGAGACGAGGAAGGTGATGCAGGTGATGAGGGAGACGATGGCGACGGCAATAATGGGGACACCGTTGCTGGTGCACTTCATGAGGAACTTGGGAGCTTGGCCGTCTGCAGAGGGTCAGTATTATTAAAAGTCTAATGGGGGAGTATTGCGACTGCTCACCTCGCGCAAGACCGTAGAGAGTTCGGGAAGCAGAGTAAAGATAAGCGTTACCGCAAGACCTGGCTCAAGTTAGAATGGATCGAACTAGTGATCGTTTGGCTCGGGAGCAACTCACCATCCAGAGAGAAGGATGAAGGCGTTGACGATATGAGGCAGGACGCTGATGCCCAGGTTCTGGATACCAATGACCCAGGGAGAGGCATTGGCACCAGACTTGCCAGCGGAGAGAGCCTCCTGCAGACCAGGATCGCGAGAAGAGCAGATGATGCCAACAGCCAGAACACCAATGACGTAGAAGCCGACGATTCGGTAGAAGATCAGGCTGGCAACTCGGGGGATAGTGCGGCGGGGGTTCTGGATCTCACCAGCGGCAAGGGCAATCATGTCAGGGCCAGCCAGGGTGAAGGCGGCGTAGATGACAACCTTCCAGACACCGAGGAATCTGCCCGCGCCGCCGGAGGTGTAGTATGAGTGCATCGCTCCAGCGCCCCAGTTGCGGAAGCCGTAGGCGTCACCGGCTGGGTTGCCACCGGACATGGTGATCAGGGTAAGGAGGACGAGCATGACGAGGAGGATGATCTTGGTGAAGGCCATGACGAACTCAGCCTCGCCGAACCACTTGACAGCAGCAATGTTCAGCAAGACGCAGCTGCCCATTGCCATGGCAATCCAGGCTGCTGCGTTGGTATCGGGGCTCCAGTATCTATCAAGTTGCGACGTTAGAACCGAATCAGTGTCTATAAAGGGGGAGAGAAACTAACTGCATAACAGTCGCGACAGCACTGTACTCCGTGCAGACCAGCATAGTACCAGCAAAGAAGTATGTCCATCCCATCGCAAAACCAACAGCAGGGTCGGCAAATCGAGAAGCCAATTCGAAGATGGAACCGCGGACAGGGAGGTAGGCGCACATTTCGGCGACGACGAGGTACAGAGGCCAGATGGCGAAGCAGCCCCAGATGGCATATCCGAGGATCAGAGAGAGTGGACCGGCCTTGCTCAAGACACTGCCAATACCGACCTACGCAGAATTCTTAGCTCAAGGTCGAAATTCGTTAGAAAATTGCAAACATACCCAGATACCGATACCGATGGAACCACCGATGGCCATGAGATGGACATGGCGAGGCTCCAGGCCACGCTGGGTGACACCGTAAGCAGCCGACAGCTCGGCATCGCGGCCAGCTCCTTTGATCTCAACGTCAAACTGAGAGCCCTGTCGGGGGCTCCCAGGACGGGCCGCCTCAATGTTCTCCTCGGCCTTCATTGTGAATGTGCTACAGGAGGAATTCTGTGTGCAAGTGGGAGGGTGATGAATGGTGAGAACCAAGCGAACCTGAAGCAAGGCCAGGCAAACGGCGATGCCACGGGCTGGGCTTTATAGCTGGAACCAGCGACGATCAGGGTCGAGTCATGGCCCAGACACAGCGTCTAAGCTTATCTTCCAGGGTGCCAGTTTCTCCAGTGACATTCCCCTCCAAATGGTAGTTTCCAGTACGTAAACTCTGGGGTTTCGGTTTCCATTACGAGAGGGAAAAACCAGGTCCGCATTTCGCTGCCATCTACACGGCTGAGATCTGGGGAGAAGCGAACGCCCTCAGACTGGCCACGCCGTCCAGGCCCAGGCCACTGTAGGCCGGGGGGACCCAAGCCAGAGAGAGACGGCAGCGAGAAATCGCCTCAATCAGACCGGAATGGTGGTCTGACTTGCCGGTTTCGGTGGGGCGTCGTTACCGGCACGACTGAGCTTGGATTCTGTAGTCCCGGTCACTGCACCGGGTCTGGTGGAGCAGAGACCTTGATGAGCATCTGGCTGGCTCCCGTATCAAACGACTAGCTCTTTGATGGGATCCGAATGAGAACTATGGCCAGTTCCTAATCTACTTGGCGTGAGTCTCCCGCCGGGTGTTCGCTGTAGGCGTCTGGCTATGCAACTATGCATAAGGGTGGCGTGGTTTCGCGCCCACCCTTGATGCCTTGGGCTAACCATTCTCATCCAGAGAGAAACATGTGGATCAGAGTCTGCCATGGATGGTGATAGCCATGGCCCTGTGATTGGCGCGCTGGGCCGAGCGAGTCGAGCAGTCGAAGACTTCTGGAACCATTCCACTTTCAAGCTTCCCTACGCCCCGATCAACATGTGACGAATTGTAGGGCGCGCCCGTCATCGTCGCGGCTGCGATGCGCGCTTTTCCTTCCGGGCTCTCGCTCAGCCTGCCCATCTCCCTCCTCGCACCGGGTTGTTCGGTCAGCCTCTTTCTACGAGCACTCAGCAAAGCACTTGGACCAAGAACTACTACGCGACGAGCTGAACAGATTCATAGTTGAGTGAATGACTCATTAGTGATGGTCGTCTTGCTTCAAGAAAGAATACAGGGTTGACCTGATGAAGCCACTTCAGGCGCAACGCGTCACGCATTTATTAGTGCAGGGGTCCAATAAGGGTGACACTCGAACGGTAGGATTAAACAATGGCATTAGGCCTCTCATTGGGCTGGCTCATCGACATTGATAAGCATAGCAGACAACCTTGGTTTTGGTTAATTAAAGTTATCCCCAAACCCCACAAGCGGCTGCAAAACTTTTACGTGACGGAAACAGGCATCGTCCGGGGTCCAGACCAGCAGGAAGAGCAGACGAGCCCAACTGGCCTTCCGACCGTCGGAACGGAAGCTGCTCCGGCTGCTGAGCATTGAGTTGCCACCGGCTCAAGTGGTTGTGACGGGTTGGCCCACTCAACGAATCATTACTATTAGTATGGCCCAAGGTCAATAGAGGGTGATGAACGCCCGGTGATCCCGTTAATTGAGTCTGCTCTCATTGGCTCGTACATCGCAGACCGCGATGTCGTCCTGAAGCCGGTCTACCTAGGGGAGTTGACCTGCAACCGCTTGCCTAAGCTTGGAACAGCCAGAGTCTTCATCATCACTTTTCTGTAAAGATTACTGAAGGGGATTAGATTGGTCAAGGGGACGCCGTCTCTGCCCTACGCCCACCATCCATCAGCCCATGACTCAGTAGAGTTCTAAATAACTTTATCGTAGGCCCAATCTGCTTATTCCTAGTGGTTGCATGAGAGGAAGCTACGCCATATCAAGGTAGCCAGCAAGCTCCGGCCCCATGTGCCGCTTGACTGAAGAAAAAAAGACAAGAGACTCCGAGAGCAATCAACACTGACTCCACCGTTATCAGTATGCAGGGACCGACTTCGGTTCATGGTCCACCAGATATCGTCTACGGACAACATCTCAGCCATATTAGATATCGAAATGTAGTCCCTAGTACACTGGTTGCGCCCGTTGGTGAACGATTCGAAACCGGCTCAAACACGAGGAGATTTCTCGGGATGTTCTATTGAATTGATAGCTCGGTTCACAATCCTAGCACAGCAGCGGCCACCGACGAAGAGCTCGACAGACCTCCATCCACGTTGGGAACCCCAGCTCCGTCTGCGTCCCAATCCTCCCACCGCGGGAAGTATGCTCGTCCCGCCGCTTCCAGGTCTCTGCCAAGATCTCCTTGGAGACACTGTAGCTCACGAACCCCGACTTGGCCGAGGCCGCATCCAGCCACGCGACAATCTGCCCTCGCTGCTTGGCCGTCATGGCCTCCGCGCCGGCGACGAAGGCCGCCCACGCCGTCCCGGGGCCCAGGAGGCCGTTCTGCCCCAGGGACGAGTCGAACTCCTCGAGGGACTCGATCACGTCGCTGATGTCGTGCCGCATCGCCCAGGGGTTGATGTTCCGGACCCTGCGATAGAAATAAATCATCAGCGCTGAGTTGAGGGCTTTCAGCATGTGCATGTGCGGTCTATTCGTGTCCGACATCCCCGGCTCCGTCGTATGATTGGTTTGGTTGTTCGATACAAAGGTGCATATCGTGTTCTCGAGCCGGGAGGCCCGCGGCTGCAAGGAGGCCAGGTGCTCTGCGTCGAGCGGGTTCTTGCTCGCCGTCAGCCGCTCCATCACGTTCGCCAGGCGGGTGGTTTGCGAGACGAGACTGAGCCAGGTCTCGGGCACGCCGTATATCTGCATGCACACGCTGTCGCGGTCCTGACGCGCGTCCGGCATGTGTATATCTCCCACGCTCGAGTCTGGATCCTCCTTCTGGACATGAGGGTTGAGGCCCTGCCCTGATGGGACTCGCGGCTCCAGGCGCAGGAAGTTATCGAGGGTTACGTCGTGGTGGCGAGTCGGCATCACCTGGACTGGGTGGTGATAATGGTGAGTTGGTGCCCTTGAAAACACCCGGCCAGGATCACTGTTTTGGTTGCCGTCTGATGTGTCTTCATCGAATGTATAGTCCTCGTGCAACACATTTGTGCTTTCGGAGACGATTCTCATCCAGGCGTAGACCTGGTGCAACAGCCGCGCTCGACGTGAGATGCCCTTTCCAGTCAACCCTCGAAGCCGAATGACCCTCTCCATTTCTGTCAGATAACGCCGTGAATCACGCTCGTTTCCCGATAGCACCTATACTCCATGGTGGTTAGTTTTGTCATCCTCGGGTGCTTGCTCTCGCTAGATGATAGGCAACCAACCGCAGTTGCGAGGGTAGCATTTATGCTCATGAGCTGGTCCTTGTATTTTGCCTTCCCAGGGGCCAAGGACTCCTTCTCCAGGGTCAGATTGATGTGTAACTTTGCCGCAGCATATGCCTGGTTCGCCAATCGCTTCCAGTGGGCGATATCTCGAGGAGGATCGGGGAAGGACGCGAAGTTCAGGGAGAGGTGGAACGCGGAGACGGCAATGACTGCGTAGAAGTTGGCCAAGGGGGCATGCTTGATGTTCTCCCTGTTGGTGAGAAGTATCGTCATCTCATTGAGGGTCATCAAGGCTGAAGACAGATTCAAAATTCTCCAAGCCGACTTCTCGTGAATCGGGAGTGATCCCATCTGATCGATGACATGGTCATTGAAGTGGCGGAAGAGCATAGGAGCATCCACCACCAAGTCTATTTCAGGCCACAATGGATCTTGAGGGCCTTGCTGGACATGAGACTCTGAATTGTTTATGACATCGCATCCAGCATCAATCTCCTGCCCAATAGGCCAAGTCCAGGTCTCTGCGACAACGGTATCGAGCGAACATGGAGCAAAGTTGGAAGGCTGGACAGTGTTGGTTCCTGTGATGTCTTCGTCCCATGTGAATAGATCTGCCCATTGAAGGAAGTCTACCGGTCCTGATAATCCATCCTCTGGTGAGGGGAATCGACTGATAAACGGCAACGGCTCTGCAACCGGTGCTGCTATGTCCAGTGTTCTGTGCTGCTCTGATATTGGACTTGGGCGACTTGAGGGCGGTGTCTCTACCGACTTATTATGGTTGACCTTAAAGACACCGAACGGCCCAACAGAGAATTGGCCTGAGGCTCGGGTTTCGAAAGTCTTAGATTCATCGTCCACTTCTACAAGCGTAGTTGCCAAGTTTGAAGGACGTGTCGCTAATAAGCTTTGGCACATGGACTGTCGGCTGGTTTCTAAAGTTGATGGTTGTGCATTAGTCTCTATTCACCACTCAGGGACTTGCATCGTTCAACATTGGATCAAACGTAATTTCGGGATAAGGTAATCAAATTACACACCAGTATATAGCTGTCGTCTGGCGTATTGATCAGTCCCATCTTCCTCTGGCGGAGACGCCTGATCTGCGCCTGTAGACACAACCCAGCGTAAAGCTGAGGAGAACCCCTCGCAAGTCAGACCTGATGCCTGGCAGCGGTTGCAGGCCGGTTCCGTCTGGTCACATTTGAGATGACGCCTTCGACAAGTCCTACAGCCCCCGCGGCCAAAAGTCTTACTCCCCTCCCCATCCTGGACACGTTCCATTAGGCGCACCGGAAGCACAGCAGGGAGACGAGGGTCATCCCTATCGACGACCGGCAGTAGCCGGTGTGGGTTATTGGTTTGACGGGTTGAAAGATGTCCAACGGTTGGCTCGGATGGCCTTGCCTTGATATAGTTCCTCGATTCTGGATATGGAATGTGGGAATTGTTAGTGGCTATACAAGCTCCGATTTAGGCCGCGCAGCTCGTGGAAAACTTCCTCATCCGTCTCTTATCACGGCTCCGGCCCCAGAATCCGAGCGCGGTCGGACGCTTATCTTTCCACGACGGCAGTCTTGCCCTGATGTTTCTTTGGATAATGCAGGTCACCCCGGGCGGCAGATCTAATCGAGATCGCCCCACGGGGTTGCGGCGAGGTTATCTTTTGAGATCGGATGCACATTATGCATGCACTGAGTATTGAATACAAGATTAGAGAATAGACTCTTGCTTGTTTCCTGGTATCTATAAATGAAGAGCCACTGGCCGCTACTTGATTGGAGATCAGTCAAACATATGTAGGGAGGGGACACTTGGAAGTTCCGAGGTTGGATAGGCAATAAAAGTTGCACTCGATGCAAACCACATACTCATGCATCATCTTCATAATATCGTAGAGCATAAGCAAGAATGCAGAGTTCCATCATGTGATAGCTACAGACATCACAAGACACCAACACAAATATCCCAGAGCCTGGCTCGGCTTTCTACCCCATTCCAATATGTTTTCTCACAGCCCAAAATATCTCGCTCCTCTTCTCCTCATTGAAGGAAGTCCGCAGCCACCCCTGCTTCCCCGAGTACGAAGAGAGCATTCTTTGCGAATCATAAGAAGTTAATAAGTGCCTGACGTCCTATTGCTCTTGAGACATACATGAGCTGAAATGCAGGCTCAAGATCGGTCGTCCTTGGATGCAGGAATCGAACCAATAGCACAGTGATTCATGCAGCTACAATCAAAGTGATGTCAACGTGTGCTAGATCTTCGCAAAAGGGAATTCCTACGAGGCTACAACAGTGTTTTATTTGCGAGAACCTTTCGGCTTTTTGACTAGTGAAGCTTGCAATCAATCGATGTTCTCGCCTTCAACCTCACTTTCATGATCAATTTGCCCGACAATAGGACAACTCAAATGGACACAAAACTTTCACATAAAGTAAAACCCCATCCAATGACGTTTCAAGCTATTGAACTGCACAAACGCGCCTCGTTCCTCAAAAGGGAAGGGTCAGGCCGGCAGGCATAAGATGATCACCGCGCTGACTGCATCCTGTAGCTAATGCTTGAAGCCAGATTGAGTGTAAAAGAACTGCAAGGCCAGGTCATATCGGGCTGAGTAGCATGTGAGATATTGGATGTATTGAGAGGCCTGTGAGGAACAGGTGACTTGATTCTCACAGAGCTCTCAGACTCACAATGCCGGCCTTCCACCCACAGCCACTTCAGCTCATTCGTGACACCAACAATTGCATAAACTTGGCTGACCCCTAAGCCCAAAATTCCCACCGGGTTTGTTCGTATCGGTTGTGGCACCGCTCATGCAGCGCCGTATCGGCAACCAACCAAACGAGGTAAGGAGGTCCGAATAATAGCAATGCCCAAAGTAACACAAGCCAGGACTGACGAATTCAGGCGACATTGATGCAGTATTGAATACCCGAACCATTCAACGGACAAGCAAATCATCCACAACAGCCTCTCTGAGAGACTCGAACATGGCCCTCAACATGGACAAGTTCCACTTCGGAACCAAAGATGAGAAGAAAAGATTCTGCAGGGAGCTTCTCAAGTCATTGAAGGAGCGCGGATTCGCCAAGATTCGGAGTCATGGCGTTTTCAAGACGGTTCTCGACATACAGTTCGACTACGTAAGGCTTTGGTATCCAACTGGGTAGAGGTTCGTTTCTAACATGGGCTGGTCTAGATACGCAGGTTTTTCAGCCTACCGCTCGACGTGAAGATGAAGGTGAAGCACCCTGCCCAGGCCACTCCCAACCGCGGCTACAGCTACGTCGGTCAGGAGAATGTTGGCAACATCAGTGGCTTCAACAAGGGTCTTGGGCCTGCAAACACGCGCGATATCAAGGTTAGCCTCCCTTACCTCAGTCCTGGAGAAGGAAATCGTGAGCTAACACTACCGGGTCCAACAGGAGTCTATTGATTTTGGTGCTGCTTTTGATGACCTTGTCGAGAATATCGAGGTCCCTGATGAAGATCTCTACGAGTTCCAGGTCTGGATAGATGGCCTCTTCCTCAAGTTATGCGAGACCCAGCGCCATATCCTCTCGGCATTAGCCATCGCCCTCGGCATTGACGCATCCCATCTCCACTCCATCCACGGCCGCGTCGAGAACGAGTTCCGCCTGCTGCACTACCCGGCCATCCCCGCCTCGGAGCTGCGTGACGGGACAGCAACGCGGTGCGCCGAGCACACCGACTTTGGGACCATCACCCTCATCTTCCAGGACGCCGTCAGCGGCCTGCAGGTCGAGGACCCATCTGAACCCGGCACGTTCCGAGACGTCGGGTCGTCCAACCTCACAGACCTTATCCTGATCGCCGGCGACTCTCTCCAGCGCCTGACCAACGACACCGTCAAGGCCGGCCGCCACCGCGTCACGTACCCCCCAGGTGTGGACAAGGACAGCGACGAGATGATACCGGAGCGCTATTCGATGGCCTACTTTGTCAAGGCGGACAGGAAGACATCACTGCTCCCACTGAAGCAGTTTATTACGGATGAGAACCCCTGCCGGTATGAAGATGTGACTGCCTGGGACTACAACAACCAGCGCAGCGCCAGCCTCTATGAGGGATAGAAGGCGGGGAGTTTAGATAGAGATCAAATGACCAGAAACATTCCATAGTCAATTGACAGCTGGCAATGCATGACGAACCAGCGGTGTTGGCAGATCAGCAGCACGTGAAACTGTGAAACTACCAGCAGGGCCTAAATTCCCCTGTTGGCCCAGTGCCCTGCTGCCGGAACCAGCCCCTGTAAACACCCAGAGAGGCCTGTGCTCTCAAGCCTGCGACCTCCCTGGGCGAACAAAATTACAGTGGACGATCGCTCCATTAACAGACTCTCTCCGAGCCTTGATTCGAACCACGTAAACATAACGAAACAGTGCTCCGTTACCCAAGCGGCAAACACTCATTTCACATTGGCACAATTCATTTGTGTCAGCCCAGGGGAAAGAAGGGGGGCAAGAAGAGGGAGCGCTGTTGGCCGCGGCCGGCATGCAGCGTCCTGTCCTCCCAACACCGCAGCAGATGAGACACGCAGGGCGCATAATCCCCCCGAGTGGCCTCTGTGCGCATCTGGGCTTGCATGCACGACGGCAGCAAAGTTCATGCGACTGTCTTGGCTGCATGTATGATGAATGATTGAACCGTGATGGCCTGCCGTCCCCGGATCGACCTCTGCCCTGCTATCCTCCGCACGGTAGGGCAGCATGTTAAAGGCGATGCATGATTGAACCGCTGTAGGTCGGCATGTAACTCACGAATACGACCTCTGCTTCCGTAGGATGGGCAAGTGAGCAAAATCCATCGCTGCCAACGCGGACACACAAATAGCAGTGATGAGTAAGTGCGTGCGGCTGGGGGCAGGCTGACACGGCACAGCAGCGAGAGCCCAAACAGCGAAAAGGCCGCACAATTGCGAATTGGCCCATGGTACTTCAGCTGACATGGGTCGGAAGAGAAAAATCTACGGTGAAATCACGCACTGTCCATCTCGGTCGCCACACACTGTCACGGCAACTGGCACACAATTGATTGTTTTGAGGTAAATTTCCATTCTATTCAATCCAAATCCGAAAATTCCTTTGTCCTGGTATCAAAGATAAATATAAACAATGTAAGAAAAAGTAAAAAAGAAGAAAAGGCTCTACATGGAGCACTAATCCGGTGAAAACAAAGCCAGCCTTTTTTCATCAGTCGTAAAAAATTGGTAGACTACCAAAGGTAAAAAAAAGAGTCTACTCTAGAAAAGGCCCACAAGTGAGCATGCAACCACACTGGACACTAGGGCCACCAGTGACATCTCGACTCCACGGCGTCCAGCGCTGACTGGAACAGTGGTGGACGATGCAGAAGGAGTGCTGGCCGGCGTGGAGACAGTGACAGAAGATAATGTCGTGCTGGGGGTTGATGTGCTGGTCAGGCCAGAGCTGGGGGCGATCACGCTCGACGAAACGGTGACCGAGGGCACCGAGGACGAGACCTGAGCCGACGAGCTGGGTGCAGCCGAGGTGGCAGGGGCAGACTGGCTGGAGGAGGGAGCAGCGACCGTGGTGGCAGCCTCAGCGGATGAAGCGCTGCTGGGAACCTCGTGGAAGACACCTCCAGCAGTGGTAGTTGGCTTCTGCTCGACGACAGTGGTGGGCGCAGCAACACGGGTGGGCGCGGCCTGGCTTGTAGAGGTAGAAGAAGAAGTAGAAGAAGAAGTAGAAGAAGATGAAGACGAAGACGACGACGAAGCAGGACTGTTGTTGGTGGTGTCGGGAATGTCAACAACAGTACCATCGCCGCCAGTCCCAGCGAGGACTGTCTTGCCAGTACCGTACTGGATGTCCACAACAGGGCTGGGGAGAGAGAGCTTGGTGGTGAGGCCAAGAGTGTTCTTGCAGCTGGGCTGGTTGCTGACGTCCAGGTCAAGCTTGCACGACTCGTCGAAGCCCAGGGTGCAGATGGCATCGCAGATGTTGTAGAGGGCGTAGTTCTTGGCGACCCAGCTGTTGGGCTGGGCGAGGCAGCTGGTGAGGAAGTTGATGCTGTTGGAGGCGCTCAGGGGGAGCTTGTGGTCTTCGGTCTTGATCAGGTCCGCGCACTCGGAGGCATCGACCTCCTCGACCTCGACGTTGACACCGCCGCCATTGAGGGGGTTCGACTTGGCAGACTTGCCGGACTGGAGGTAGACCCAGGCGTCGTAGCTGACGTCGTAGGCGCCGCCTGACTGATCGATGCGCAGGAGGTGGACGGAGCGGCCCTCGTATGTGAGCTTGACGCAGATGTTGTTGCAGTCAACGGAGCCGGGCCAGTAGGCGACTCGGTTGGTGTCGATCTTGCAGCCGAGAACACCGACCGAGGACGAGTACTTGTCGTGGGGAGTGATAGAAACACCCTTGGCTACCGCGCCAGCGGCGAGCGCAAGGATGGAAACAATTGAAGTCGAGAAAAGCATGTTGGCGATGCTGGGCTCGAGTGGATATTCCCAAAGAATGAGTGATGGGAAGACGGGTTAGACGAGAGTCTGGATTGGTCTGATCTGGCGATCCGAGTCGGAAACTTGGGCCAAAGCGAGGCAAAGAGTGTGCTTAGGAAAGCGATTGATTGCGATGAGGCCAATGTGTCGGCCGGGGCGTCGGGCTCTGGAGAGACGTGACGAAGAGATGTCGAAAGACGGGATCTGGCGCAGCCGATTTGGTGCAGAAAGAGAGTGGCCTGCCACAAAGTCGAGGCTTGCGAGAGCTGGAAAGGAAAGGATGACACGCGGTGTCGTTTGTCGCAATCAAATCAACGAAGGCTTGATGGAGGGAAACAAGATCAGATTCATGTTTGCGGGGGGCGTCAGAGCTGCTATATAACACACCTACCAAGTAATGGGGCCACCGGGGAACCAGCAGGAGCGAGCCTTGCTTGTGCCTTGCTCGTGCCTGCCACGACACGACATGGGTCGAGGGCCAGGCCGCCTTGGGACAGGTACTTACCGTGTGGACGCAAGGGAGCACGTTGCATCGGTGCCTGAACCAGGCACAATGTCACTGTGACTCGTGAGTGATCCCTGCCAGGCGCTGGGCCGACACAGTGGCTGACACGCCGGCTCGCTGACTAACCAAACGGCGCGCGCCCGTTGGCTGCCGTGGAAGAGCTTGCAGGAGCTAACCCTGTTAAATTTAGCAACCGGCTCCCCGTGGCCCAGCGGCCCTTGTTTAAGTTTGTTCCTGCACTGTCGCGGGTACGTAGCGGTACGTACTGCCTGCTGCGCTGTCACATGCTGGGCAGCTACGGATCAGTACAGGTACCAGCCGCGACCAAAAGGGACAAGCCGTCTGAGCCAAAAAGGATTTTCGCTTTCTGTCCCGGCCCCCAGCCGATCCGTGGCTGACTCTTTCCGCGCCGTTCCTGGTCACTAATTTAGTCCCCAAGCACTTTGTTTTTTGTTTGTTGGCTCTGTCTCTCCATTCACGGTCGCCCTGGCTGCTGCCGGCCGGTTTCGCTCTATTCTACTCTGCCCTGCTGCCAGTGGGACGCGCTCATCCTTTCCCTTCTGCGTGGTTTTAGCGCCCCATCTCGCTGTCTGGCAAGCCACACACGCACCGCCGTGGCCACAGGCTCAGCTCCACACCCCCTTCACCGTTCAATGAAAAAGAAAATTCAAGAAGAAAAAATTCAAACAATAAAATCTCTCACCGACTAAGACTCACAATGAGCGCGTCATCACATTATTAATCGTGGAGCGTGACTGGTCTCGCGTTTGAGGCCTGAACTCAAAGTGGCTGAATAGTCGCACCCGGCACAAAAGTACCTGCACGATTACAACAATTGTCTCACTGATGAGCGTCTCACCTCATTTCCACACCCTACCCTATAGCGGAATACCGCATTTAACCCTCATCCTCTACCCAAATGCAATGTTTCTGTCAACCACAGAATACCCTATTGAATTAACTGCATGTCAAATTAATTTTATCCCTTTATGCTACAACTTTGATGTGTTAGCTCTGGGTCTATTGGCACGACTAGATGCTGTGTTTTGCTTGTGCTCAATCGCGTCCTCAACATGAAGGTGGATCCCACCACACAAACTCTACCAACAAAGTATCTTGTGTAGTAAATGCGACAATATGCAGGTCTAGAGTCTAATGATGAATGGCACACGTAGCAACACCTCCTCCCTCATCAAGGGCTCCTCCTCTTCTTCCCGCCCCGTATTTTCAATGCAGGGATCGCTGCGGCAACAGAGACGACAAGTATCAGCAGAAATCCCTTGTTCATTGCCTGCCCGTAGCTGCGCCGGACAAGAGCCGCAACCTCGGGGTCTAGAGTCTGGAGCGACTCGAGGCTCTTCCTCACCTCGTCCACAATCTTACCTACGTCGAGATTGTCGTACTTTTGGAGCTCCACGGTCAAGATGTCGCGGAGGGTCTGCTGGATGACTGTGGACACGACTGAGACGCCTAGAACCGATCCAAGGTTCCGGAAGGCAAAGTACATGGCAGTCATGACGGCAATATTAGTAGATGGGCCATTAGATACTGCAAATTTGTTAGAAGTGGTGCCCTCTGTCTTGAAATCTAGATTTGACCGGGATTTATCCAACTTACTGAGAGCAATGAGCCCAGAAACGACCGAGTTCCCTATGCCAAACTCGGCCACAGCTTGAGCGATGATTAAACCTGTTGTAGACTCGCCGGCAGGCCCGGACCAAAGATAGGCGAAAATGCCTCCGGTGATCTGCAGCACTGAGACGAGCATCAGCGCCCAGTAGTACTGCCCCGTGTGCCTCATCCAGAAACCAGTCAGCACGGAGCTCACGACGCCTCCCACAATGGCCGGCAGCATGTAGAGCGACGCTTGCTGAGGGCCAAGCTGGTCCTTGACCTGGTAGTACAGCGGCAGCACGAAGTCCAGCGCGACAATGGCAAAGAAGACAAGGAAGGCCGACGAGTAAATGGGGAGGAGCTCGGCGCTGAACGTCGATGCGATGGGCAGAATCGGCTCCCGAGCGACGCGCATCTCAACATAGAAGAACCAGAGGGCTGCGAGACCCGAGAGGAGAAACGACCCATACGTCTCCGGCACGGCCCACGAGACGTTGCTTCCCCGATCAAGCCCAAACATGAAGGACGCAATCATGATGATAAGGCTGACAGAGCCGAGAAAATCGACCCTTCTCAGCTTCGCCAGCATGTTCTCGGCACCCCTCTCCCCCGAGTCCACGGGACGGCCAATGTCGCCATCTAGGCAGACGCTAATCACCGCGATGGCAATCACACAGAGGGGAACCTGCCCGAAAAACGCCCATCGCCAGCCCACGGACGCGGTCAGCAGTCCGCCGAGAGGGGCGCCCAGGCCCGCCCCGAGCGAGTACACCACGCTCACGACGGCCTGCCAGACGCCGCGGTCCTCGAGCGGCACCAGGCCGGTCAGCAGGATGGAGACGACGGTGCCCAGGCCGGCACCCCCCGCTGCCTGGAGCACGCGGGCGGCAATCAGCTCTTCAATCGAGCGTGCGAAGCCGCAGACGAGGCACCCGAGGGCGAAGAGCACGTATGCGGCCAGGAGGCACTCTTTCCGGCCGAAGATGTCGCACAGCTTGCCGTAGAGCGGCTGGATTGAGGCGAGCGTGAGGGCGTAGGCCGTCATGATCCATGATGCCAGATTCAGAGCGTCTAGCTCGCTTGAGATGGTCGCGTAGCTGACTAGGGCAATTGTGCTGTCTGCCGCGGCGAGGAAGATCTGCGGGAAGATGGATTAGTTCCCCGTGATGGATGGATTTGTCAGAGGGTGGTGGTTTGGTTTCCTCACGTACACCTATGGTGATGGCGGGAAAGATGATTAGCATGTTTGGCGTCCTCTTCTCGCCCTGGGAGCTCTCACGGCTCTCTTGGATGGCATCATTTGCATTGCGCTCGGGGTCATCGGTCTCGGTCACAGTTACGAGGAGTGGCGACCTTTCTGTCTGCTTCGATGAGGGTGCCATTTTTTTTCACAGCGGGATCTGGTAGCACCGCAAGAGGACGTACGGAGTAATTATCAATTCAAATCTTGTCACTCTTACAACCAGAAAGAAGAACAGAGGAGTAACGGGCATCCCGAAGGAAAAAATCGCAGAAGAGTAACGGTGCGACCCCTGCACTGATTCATTGCGTGACCGGAAAATTCAATGACTGTTCCCCTCCCTTCCCGTCAGCTGCGGGGAGAACTGCACCATTCTTTCTTCTTGATGCATCTTTATGAGACGAACCTACGAGAAGGAGAAGGCGTGTACTCCTAGGCAATCCATGAATGACAACATGAAGCTTTGCTGGTGAGATATTACGACTTTTTTATCCCCTTTTCCCCAGCCTAGGAAACACCATCGACAGCACTTGGAGATACTGGAGATCTCAAAGGTAATTTTTCTCTCGAACCATCGCGGGGGACCATGCGGGAGGCCCCAGTCCTCGTCTTGTCTCAGCCAATTGCAACGACGAGATCGACCAGGTTCGTCGGTCACATGGTGCCCCCGGTCCCGGCATGTCTTACATCCTGCCGACCTCGGGGCGTTCGCCTTTCGGATCTCCTCAAACGCCATGCCGAGAAGGTGTGAGGTCGGCAGGCTTGTTCCTTCACCTTCCTTTTGGCTTCAATATCAGAAAAAGCAGACAATGCTTGATGTTAAGATGGCCCTTTTTGTTTCAAGACCGGCTGGAATCTCGGCTGGAGCCTCGGCTGGAGATCCGGCTAGGACTGATTTGTACACATCTTGGCTGCTCTAATCAAGCCACCTACTCGTTCATAGCCTCAGTACGTGACATCAGTTTTTCAATGTCTCGGAATGTCGGAAGGAATTACGAAAACCCCCCCCAATAGCTTGACTAGGGGAATCAGTTGTAGCTGGAGCACCTGCAGGCTTGTGGAAATTCTCGTACATGTAACGAGCTCTCAATAGCTGTGATCGTGTAGGTTTAGATAGACTCCCTCTGAAGTCAATATCACTTACTAGGTTGATGAAATGATTTTTACGTCTTATAAACTTCTTGTTATATGTGGGAAGGTTGGACCGATGCGGAGATACTCTTCACTGACAAATCTGCATTCGGTGACTGGGAGTTTCTCACGTTGATCTCCTTTACGGAGTAATAAGATGGAAGGTCGTTTCCATCCAGGTACAATCGTCGCTTTGTACCGGCGAATGATTTCATGACTATTCTAATTGATATCCGATCACGAAGATTTCCTATTGCTTCTATCCGATAGTGTAGTCCCTGGATTGATTGTTCTATTCCCTTATTAGGGTCTAATTCACTCCTTTCACCTCTGTGCACTCATCTACGCAAAAATAAACCCAACCCAATTCTCTTGCCCATACGCCACCTCTTTATAGCTTAGACTATAGTTAGATTGAAGCTGGGAAACTTATTGGGTTGCCAGTCTAAGCCGTCAGAAGATCCATGGACCAGCTCGAATGGGTTTAGATGTCCTAGAGAGCTCTAAAAGCTGCCAGCACCTTGTAGCTCTGCTCAGTGAAATATCCTTTTGATCTTTGTTTCCTTTGTGTTTTCTCTATTGAATGTCAGGAAACAGAAATAATAGCTTTCTCTTATTTGTGCTCTGCTTTCTGCATTCCATTTTCTGACCTTCGTGCTTGTGCGGGCACATAAATCCACTAATTTTTCATTGATCAAGCTCTTACCCCAGTCGCTGCCATCACACTGAATTGATCGACCCAAAAGCTTTTTCAATGAATATAGAAACGCATAATACAAACGCCATATCACTCCGTAATCTATGTCCAAAAGGGGGTAATCTCGATCGCGTGCTTGCCCGTGGCTCTGACGAATCAGCTTGCCCCTCCCGATTTCCAGACAAGCTCGTCATCAGCATCCAATATCATTGCTTCCGTCCGAGCGACTCACCGAGGATGAGCTGAAGTCGAGATAAGTAATAAAATGTGCATCAATTATTGCGAAAACGTAATGTCACCGGTGGGGAGGCCATGTATAAATTCTACCACTACCCGATCATATCACAAGCGTGCTGCATATTCATGCTCTCGCTACAAGGTCTACAATTTACACTACTTGAGTATTGAAAACTGTTATATCTCTATCACGTATCATTCGTCTCGAAATGGCTTCGGAATCCTTCGCGAGCTCGGATCCCGCTGTGTATGCCGAGTATGAAGCTAAATGGTCAGCACTGCCCAAAGATGAGGAGGAATGGATCCAGCGCGCGAAAGACGTTGCCGACGTCTTGAAGCCTGATGCTGCTGCCAGAGAAAAAGAGAACAAATCGCCCAAGGCAGAAGTGGCCCTATTGAAGCATTCGGGCTTGCTCAAGGCACTTGGTCCAGCCAAGTATGGCGGCGGCGGGCAGTCTCGCGCTGTTGGGTACCGGCTGGTCCGCGAGGTAGCCAAAGGAGACGGGTAAGTTGATCATTTAAATAACCCTGAAGGTAGCTATTTATTAATATGCTCTCAAGGTCGGTTGGCATGCTACTTGGATACCACCTTGTATGGTCTCATATCGCGGACGTGTTTGGCTCGAAGGAGCAAGCCGAAAGAGTCCAGAAGGAAATCATCAGCAACAACTACTTCGTCGGCGGCGCTGTCAACCCACGAGATAACGATCTGATCATAAAACCCGAAGGTGACAAGCTCATCTTTGACGGATTCAAGAACTTCAGCACTGGTGGTGTCATATCGGACCTAACGGTGCTCGAGGGTGTCGTTGCCGATACCAGTGACCATATTTTTGCAGTAGTACCCACTAACCAAGCCGGAATCCAGTTCAAACATAACTGGGACAATGTCGGCCTGCGTTTGACCGAGTCAGGTGGCGTCGAAATCAAGAACGTGACTGTTGAATGGTCCGACGCTCTTGGATGGGATCCCCAAACGAAGAAGCCGGATCCTGCTATTCTTGGCGTGCCCCTTGCTAGCTTGTTCCTTCCACTGTGGGTTTTCCAGATTTCAAGAGATTATGATTATATGCTAATGTTCAAGATAGCGTTCAACTTACCTTTGCCAACTTCTATATTGGCATTGCATGGGGCGCCCTTGAATTTGCGAAGGAGTATACTCGCAAATATACTCGCCCCTGGCCATATGGTGGCGACGTAAGTTATGATGCATTCCGAGGCGTTGAATCAACTGTCTAACTCTTTCATAGAACAAAGATAAAGCGGAGGATGAGTTCTACATCTTGCAAACCTATGGCAACTTCTTCGCCCACCTTCGTGCTGCCACCGCCTTGGCCGACCGAGCCAACTCCGAGGCCGGCCGCCTCTTCACCAAGTACGTCAACGCCGAGAACCGCGCAAATTTCACCGCGGAAGAGCGTGGGGAGTTTGCCGAGTGGGTTGCTAGTACCAAGGTGGTAGCCACTGATACTAGCCTCCGTGTCACGGCTGGTGTCTTTGAGGCGACGGGATCGAGGGCCACGGCCGCCAAGGTTGGTCTGGATAGGTTTTGGAGAGACGTTCGGACTCACACTCTACATGACCCTGTTTCTTACAAGAACCGAGAACAGGGGAGATATTATCTTCTTGGGGAGGCCCCTGAGGCTACGTGGTACACTTAGGGATGAGAAATGTCGTAGCTAAACTTGAATGCTCATCAACAATTGGGATACCACAGGGACAATTGAATGTGAAACTTCCCCATATTGTGTGTACTATTAACAACAATCGCAGCCCTGATACTCGATGGGTTGATTGATTGCTCTAGGTCCCTCCGTCGCTTCTTGCAACGAACCAAGCAGCGGCGAAAGGAGTGAATAGTGACGAGTTAGATGAAATATATCAAATTAGTGAATTAAGGCAGTGGCAATATAGCTATCTGATAGACATATTACATAACTAATCAATCGAGGAGAGGGTTTCCTTCAGAAGGGCTATTTTGGGGGGTCGCCATTGCGCACACGCAGTCCCGCAATCCCGACTCCCACTGGGCGGTTGTAAAGTTCAATGTTCACGGTGTCGATCAAAAACCACCTGCACAGCAATTTTAACTCCCCCCGGACGGTTGTTAAGCTGACGGGACTGATTTGATGCTCACATGTTCCATTAGCACAGCAATTTCAACCCCCTCCGGACGGTTGTTGCTGATGGGACTTTGGCGCCTACGAAATGCTCGGAGTAATAACCTTGCCCCGAGGTGCACCTCGGGCGCTTGAGGAGCTCCCGAGCTGCACAGCGATTTTAACTCCCTCCGGACGGTTGTGATGCTGACGAGACTTGTTTGGTGCCTAGCCACTCATAGGGTTCCATTAGCACAGCAATTTCAATCCCGTCCGGGAGCACAGCAATCTATTAACCCACGCGCAGTTGTGAATGTGACGTGACTTGGTTGCCTGTTGCCCAAAAAGACCACCTGTACAGCAATCTAACCCCCGCCGGACGGTCATCAAACTGACGGGCCTTATTTGTGCCTACAAAAGTGGAAGAGCTTTAGATGAATGCTTTCAATTACGCTTTTGGTCAGATTTGTAACACTCGCAGGCATCGCCACTGCGAAAAATACCGTCGGAACTAGAGTTCATACCTGACGGACGGTATTGTTTTTTATGTGGCAATAAATATATATTTCTTGAGAGTGTTTCGAAATAAATTTGCTTGCATAGAACTCTACCGACACATTATGTGTATGGATCTTTCTTGACTAAGATGTTCGACAATGCTGCTCAGTCTTGAGTCCTATTTAACCTGAGATGGGTTATAAGCCGGACCTCCCCCCACTAGAGTCATATTTCATCTCATCCCAATAAGCCTTCAAGGAGCGGACGGCACTCTCATTGATTCGATGTTCTTTGGAATCCAATCTGCGTCTAGCCACCGAGAGAGTCGATGTTGGATTGAGACGGCTGGTGCAATCAATACGGGGTTCTGGCGATGGGTTGCCGCTGCTATGTTCGGCCATGCCCGGGGAGGCTACAGCGCAGGGAGAAGATCCTCATAGTTGTATGTTCTGCGCCTGCTCTTCGGAGAATCTAGGAATCGGAACCCTGAGGAGCCAGATCCTAGCGCCAGGGAGAGGCTGTACCTCAGAGGGCGGGATGTCTGTTGCATGGTGGCGACATGCTTAGCGATACCTTCATAAGGATACCTTCATAAGAGATGGCAAGCGATCACGGATGTTTAATGAGCAGTGTAATAGGCGTATTCCGAAGAGGTGGCGATCGCCTCAAATGGTCTCCCCGGGCTGGAGCGGCTGGGCAGGCTCGTCTGCGGACTGGCCATAGGTTCCCGCAAGCATGGGAAGAATATCGAGCTGCATGATCCTCCAGGCCAGGCAGAGAGCAGTGACCACGAAGAAGATTTGAATTACGAGCTTCGTACACGCGCTGCTCTGATCACGGCTGCTGCGCGAATTTGACGGGCGGGGAACGGTCCCGGAGATTGGTAGCTGGTCGCCTTTCTCCATTTCGTGCTTTATGTCGCTACTCTGAATATATTTGTATGCTGATTAAAATAGAGATGAAGTGTTCTTGAACGGTCTTACAAGATGGGATTGAAGATATGGAGGATGGTAGTTGGGGAGTTTGAGTGGCGAGAGAGGAACAGGCCATAAACGCATCATTGATGTCATCCAAGCCGATAAGAAAGAGCATGTGAATGATTCTGGAGAGAGCGGGGAAGCCTTTGATGGATTCTGGTTGGCTCACCCATTGCCGATCTCCAACGTCTTGCATATCCGTCCGTCGGCGATGGCATAGCGCATGATCAGCCCGAAAAAGCCTCACTAACAGGCTGACCATGTTCACATGTTGTGTAATTGTCCAATGTAGAGATCATATCATGTCTTGCATTCTGATCCCTGTAATAAAAGTCCCAGTTACAGCTCGCCCTCGGCTCTCCATTCAACTCACCCCTGAGACTCTGCTTTCCAAAAATAAATAGGTAATTATCTTCCACTGTCTAGGCAGTCCTACTAATCAAGTTACTGCCCCGGCCTTTGTAGGTTGACAAGACACAGCTGTATAAAATTGTGCCTGCAGATTAAAGTCTCCGTATGTCTACACAAGACCGAGATCCTCCGGCCGCATGACCACCTGCTTCTGCCTGCGTCGCTTGTCAGGCTCCGGATACCTGGCCGTCAAATTGACAAGGAACTCGGTGTGATCCTTGTTCCAGGTCCCCGAGGTCCAGTCATACCGCGCATCATGCGGGATGCAACCATCCTCATCTCGCGCTGCCTCCTCTACACTGACCAATGCACAGGCCCCCATGAGCGTGCTCTTGATATCCCACGACGACTTGCGGTTGACAAGCTGCTTCCACACCCCCAAGGCCCCATGCCGCACATCCCTATCCCGGCATGAGAGCACAACCCTCGAGACACCCGCGAGCAGGGCATCGTTGATGATGGCGCGGGCGTAGGACGGAATCCCGCTGTTGGCCGCGTAGGTGTACCGACCAACGAAGTGCAGGCCCAGCTCCTTCTTCGTGTTCCATACCGTCTCCGCCGGGTCAAGGGTGCCTTGTATCGCCGCGGCGAGGAACTTGGCCCCGAGGTAGACCGCTGCGACCATGGCGTATGCCTCCATGTCCTTCTCTCGGCCGAGCCTGAGCCCTGCCGCCGTCTCCCATGCGTTCACCTGCCTGACCATGCCTGCGTACTCGCTCTCGAGCATGTGTGTCGCCGTGGGGTTGTCGTTGTAGAGATAATCGAAGGCGCGTACTTGCCAGAGACTGCCGACCGTGACCATGCGCCAGAATGTGCTGCAGAATTCCTTGGTGCCCCATCTGGGGTTGGGGGACGGGAACTCGAAGGTGTGCTTATTGGCGATCTCGAGCAGGCTCTCTCTCTGGCAGGGGTACATGGGGGACTGCTGGACGGTCCAGCAGGCAGTGCGAACCAAGAAGTATTTGGCTTCCTCGATCCCTTCATCGTCTGTCCTGGTGGATCTCGGGGACGAGTCCGGCAGGAGGACGTCGTCCTTGAGCAGCATGATTCCGCGACCTGTCAGGGTGTCTGCACCAGTCGTATTGCCCTGCATGTACTCAAAGAACGAAAACAGAACCGTGGCAATAATCATTGTTCGCGACACGCCCCCGGGTGTGCCTGCTATGCAGCCTCGTAGCTTTACGATGGCTCTGTTGTAGTGGCTCAGAGCCTGATAATAGTGCGCGTCGGACTGGGGGGCCAGGAACAGCGGACGGAAAACTGTGGCCTGGTCTTGGGCATACGCAAGGGCGCCAATACCAAGAATGGCGTCGAGAATACAACCGTCTACAGTGCTCTCACGAAGGACTGACCGGAGCCAAAAGTCAACGGGGCCCTCGGCCTGGAAGCTCATCTGCCGGGCCACCTGGTCGCGGAAGCGATCATAGTACAGTACCTCACCTGGCTCTAGCATGCGGCACGAAAACTGCAACAGATGGGGCCTGGGTGGGATGCTCTGGGCCGATCCAGCCGGTAGTATCTGCCTTGTGTCCAGTCTGCTGGTGGCCCGCGTCGGCGTTAAGTAGACGCACTGCGAATCGGTCCGGAAACAGCGGCCACACGTAGGCTTCTTCTCGTCGCACTTGACATGCGACTTCCTGCATCTTGCACATCCTAAGTTCCTACATTGTAAGCATCTAGTTGATTTGAGTGGTCGGGACATTGAGCTGCAGGACGAGCTGCGCGGCTAGGGAAGGCTAGAGACGTACCGGCGTGGGCTTTGGCCTTGGGCTGAGTGCGCTTCGCCATAATATTTCATGTGAGTTCAGATGAATGCGGTATCTGGTAAACAACAAGCAGTGGTTGGTTCGAGTAGTCGGGGGGGTCGGAATCTAGAAGCGAGGTTATCCAGATGGTGGCGTGGCAGCGTAGATGATGCCAGCACGTGCAGAAATAAGGGAGCACGGTCTCTGACCTCTGACAGACCGCGTTCAGATGAGCAGGGTTAGGCAGCTTTCCCTACTGTTTCGACTAATCAGAGTTGTTCAGACCTTGAAGCTAACCCATGTCAAGGCAAATGTCCTGGGGTCCCATCATATTAGATTGGTTCTGGTTCCGACCCCCCTGTTCGTTTGGTCCAAGCACGGCTAGATTGGGGATATCATTGCCAAGTAGGTATCTATTCCTCGACTCCTTTCAAGATTCCCTTCAAGATTTGCTGCCGAGTAACTGGGCGTTGAGCATTGTTTGCGTTGTATTAATAGTATGATGACAAGTATGGCCGATTTCACTACGCTTCATAGTCAATCGGTACCCACTCGGTCTCGCGTCTCAGATGGTGTTGTGATTGGGTTCCTTTTACCAGGTAGAGTAAGATAGTTGGACTCTGGCGGATTGATAAAGTTTAAGAAGAGCTTGCAATTTGGTTGATTTTTGCAAAAAACTATATTCATACCTGTGTATTGTGAGAGAATGGAAGAGGAGACTTCAAGTCTAGTTAACGTCTGATCTTGGGTCTAGATTGACACTTCTTCAGTTGCTTGTAGTTTTATTAAGCATAGAAATATTCAAAGGAACCACACTGGATTTGTTCTACACTGAAACTGGAAAGCACAAAGCTGAAGTCAGTCTTAAAATACAAAATCAGGTAGTGCACATTAGAGATGTGATTTTTTATCCTTCATATGCGACATAGCGGCGTTAAGAGGTCTGGAGATGGGGGGAGGGGTGAGTTGGGGGTTTAAGGCATTCCTTCGTTGACAGTGTTGACGGTGGTCACGTATCAGGTCACTTCACTAGCACAACCACTGGAAAAGCTGCTTGAGGTTGTGCATAATCAAAGGCTTGGTTTCTATTGTTGTCGGGTATGCTTACGGCAGCTTCCTCTCTATACGTCACACACGTACATACATATGTGCTCGCAACTCAAGCTGGAAATGGAAGAGGGACACGTCCAATCTGAGAAATCCAGCTGAGAGTTTTGGTGGCTTGTTTTGCTTGTGTGTTCTGCTTTCATTGGGCAGTGACTGTGCCACTTTCATCCTCCTTGATTCCCCATTGGTTGAACTGTTGCACTTTGAAGCGCCAGTTCCAATATTCATGCTGGTTATGTGTCCACACGACCAATAGGACGTTTTCTGACTTGCATATGTGAGACATCATTTTATGCAACTGATAGTGGGCGTGGTACAGCTTGAGCAAAGTACATTTATACTGGGAGCAGCCACTTGAGCCTTAGTAACTCGTAAATGACTCGATCTAGTGGTAAATCGTGTTAAAGAATCAAAATACATGTGGCCTATGCTGCTGGGTCTGACGGCACAGAAAGCGAATGTGGTTCACAGGTTTTGAGTGGGGAATTTCATGTCGGTGAAAGCGAACTGGCTGACCTTGAGCCTGCATCCCTAGCTCGATGGCAAAGTGCTACAGCGGCCAGGAGCTGACAAATTCAGGGCCACTATTGGACCTAAGGGTGTGTACATATTACGCCTTTAGTACGCCGGTTTATTCAAGGGCCTCGTTAGTAGGAATCATCAGTAAGTTATTAGAGGCTTTTATAAGACTAGGTTTTTTTATTTATTCTTACTTATAAGTGTTTCTGAGACTGGCCCCGTAGATCTAATAGCTATTTATTCTTATTAAGAATGTCTACTGTAGCGAAACGTCGCTCTAATAACACAGAAGGTGTGTTTTCAAGATCGTTCTGATTTGCTGTAGTATGATTACCCCACTACGCTCTTTCAAAAATTACTCAAGTAAGTAATTGTAAGATCTTAATTTTACTTACAAGCTAAAAAAAGTAAGCAGACTGACAAGCCTTGGTCAGCTTTGATACTCGTTGGTCGATTCCGATCCCCTGGCCATTGTGATTGGACCCGCGATGCAAGATGAAAATTGATACGTACCTAAGGTAGTGCAAGAATGAGGGGGCATGAGCATAAATATCTCTTCGATCTCCGGCCATTTCTTCCCCAATGGCATTTCAAACACTGTTTGAGCTTTGACACTACCATGCAGGCCTTGTTTGAGACACTCCTACAGCTAATAGCAAGGCCAACCATTATGTGGGCAATGGTGCTCACAGGTCTTGCCCTCTTACTGCACTGGCTGACCACCCGAAAATCCTTATCTCATGCAGTACCGAAACTGTGGAAGCCCGACGACTTACCAATCCTCGGCGCCTGGCGCTTTTATACCCACCGAGAGGAAATGTACCGCACGGCTCAGAAGTCTACCAAAACTGGCAATTTCAGCTTCTTTGTCGGGAAGAAGCATGTGGTGGGTGTCAGTGGGCCTGAGGGCAGGAGGACATTCTTTGACTCGAAAGATCTGGATCTAGGTGACGGGTAAGAGGACGACTTGATGGATGCGAATCATATGGATGATCGACTAACCAGAAGATAGTTTTAACGACTTGTTCGCGGGACTACCGGCGCAATCGGGAGGCGATGACTTTGACCGATTCCTCAAAAAGACTCTGGCCACCCTCTTGAAGTCGGAGAATCTCAACAAAAACATCGGGATGCTGGCAACGGATGCACGACGCACGTGTGAGGCTCTTGCGGCGGCACCGGTCTCAGACTCGCATCCAGAATGGAGGGTCATGAACCCATTCGACTCTATGTTCAGGCTCGTCTACCAACTCACGATAAGAACGATCGGAGCCCGAGAGATTGCCGACAACACCGAGCTTTTAAACCATACACTGAGCATCTTCGAGCAATTTGAGAGTCGGACCAGTACCCTCAAGTTGTTCCTGCCCTGGTTACCCACGCCAAACCATATCCTTCGAATGTTCAACGGTGCAAGGCTGTACAAGATATTTCTCGACATTATAAAGAGCAGAGAGAAGTCCGAGAAGCCAGTTGCTGATGCCTTGCAGCAAATCCTGGACATCGGAGCAAGCGTATCTGACGTGATTTCAGTAAGTGAATTTCTCTCATCAAAAGGGTTAGACAGAGCTATGGCTGACCTTCAGGTAGTTTGAAATTGGATCTCTGTTTGCAGGACTTATAAACACCGGACTTCATGCCTCCTATCTTCCATTACACTGCGCTGATAACCCGGAATGGAAGGCCAAAGTACAAGCCGAGGTTGATAGTGTGGTTGCCAAGTATAGATCCACGCCAGAGCAGTCCCCAGCCATGGTCCTGAGCTCGCTCAGCGTTGAGCAATGGGAGAGCGAGTTTCCTCTAATTGACCTGTCCTTGCGGGAGTCGATTCGGGTTGGAATGCCAGGTGCTGGGCTCAGAAAGAACATTGGCCCTCGTGATATCCCCATTGGCAATACCGGCGAGGTGATTCCCAAGGGCTCATATGCGGTTTACGTGTTCAACGATGTGCACAAGAATCCGGACATTTACACCGACAGTCACAAATTCGACCCGACTCGATATTTCCATGATAGAGCTGAAGACAAGAAGATGAATCACACCTACTTGGGATGGGGTAGCGGTCGTCATCCATGTCTGGGCATGAGGTTTGCCAAGCTAGAGATGGTGTTATGCAACGCTTACTTTTTCGCCATGTTTGACTTTGAGCCTTCGGAGAAGGATGGCAGCCTGAGGACCGAGCCAGTTCCACCAGTCGATGTGAAGCTTCTCCAGATCCGAAAACCTGATGAACCTGCATTCATCCGGTATAAGCCTAGGGCGTACTAAATAGGTGCGGACTCGCTGAATCTGGATGATGGATAAAGGGTTTGAGAATTAATCCAGGAGGGGGCACATTACTCTGAATCATTAATTTGATATGCATCTCGTATTGGAAACCCATGTAGGAAATACTGAAGCGATGCCGTGATCGTGGGATCAATTTGCAAGGTCGTAGTTGGCCTTGTGGATGCTCCTGTTTCGGTGTAATGCAATACTTGGCTGTTAATACCGTCCGCAAAAATAAAGAGAAACTCCGTCTTTACACAAACCAGATACATTGGATAGAGCAATACAGACAAGGGATGACACAAGTGCATATATTGACTTCACATACCCTTGGTCGGTTGCTGCCGCCATATCCAACCTAAATGGTCTAAATAGACAGCTCACTTTCGTATCGAATGGTATCGACAGAGGTATTATATTTCCATATTCTCACAGCTTTTCTTAGCAGCAATCCAGGTTGGTACCCGGCTGTCTACTTGCCGAGACCCCTGCAGCCTGTCCTGCGTTGAGACGAGCTGCCTAAAAAGGAAAATGCGGAATCGATCACCGAGATGGATAATGGGGGATAATGGATGGCACGCGCCATGGAACATGGAATTTTACGCCAATGGGAGGTTGCAGGCAAATTAGATCGTCGGATTTCGTTTCATGGCTCCTTTATGCTGCCATCGACCTTAAAAGAATATCCATAAATGAGAGGCCGCAATTCGTGAAGGGCCTATTAAGCTATTCGGGATGAAACACAACGCAACGATTAACATAAATATCCCGCCCGCCCTCATTCCGTATCTAGTATCTTTATGAGAACATCACTTCACCTTCAACCTGACACAGAAAGCACTTGGAATTCGGAAAAGCTCATTGTTCTAAGCCGCCCGTCAACATGAAGTTTCTTTCGTTGGTCTTCGGCCTGATCGCCGTTGCTGCGGCTACACCCACACCTACCATTGAGGATACCCCTGTCAACATTGAAAAGCGAGCTACCATCTCCGAGGCTGCTAACCTTGGTTACGCAACTCAAAATGGAGGGTAAGATAATAAAGTTTAGGTATCAGCATACATGAAGCATTCTCGCTGACTGTGTGGCAGTACCAAAGGAGGTGCTGGAGGAACAGTGACAACTGTATCCACGCTGGCTCAGTTTACCGCCGCTGTCGATGAAAAGGACACGACCGCCCGCATCGTTGTTGTCAAGGGTGTTATCTCCGGTAACACCAAGGTTCGAATTGGCAGTAACAAGTCTGTTATTGGACTTGCCGGAGCCGGTATGTCTTTGCAACGTGCTTCCAATGTCTCCCAATATCTCTCTTGCTCATGATTCTGAAACAGGCTTCAACAATGTGGGTCTCTACGTCCGCCGACAGAGCAATGTCATTATCCGCAACCTCAAGATATCCTACGTGGTTGCCGCTAACGGGGATGCTATCACCATTGATGTAAGTGAACTGAATGCTGCTTATGGTGTCGCAACAAGCCCGTCGGCAACATGCTCACAGCTTACAGGCAAGCACCAATGTCTGGGTTGACCACAATGAGCTCTACTCAGCTCTTGTAGACGACAAGGACTACTATGACGGGCTTCTTGATGTCACTCATGGATCGGATTACGTGACTCTCTCCAAGTAAGTTCATCCTGGCCCCGTTCGGAACAACATGTGGGACTCAAATTAACGGATTGAAATCTAGCAACTATCTTCATGACCACCATAAGTGAGTGTCGCGGTTTCTAATCCTCGGCCTATCCTTCTGAGCCCCCACCCGCCAGCGTGATCTACTTGGGCGCGCTTAGACTTAAAGCTGCGCTTGACTAAAACCGTAATATATGAAAACATACTGATTTGTTTAGGACTTCTCTTGCTGGCCACAGTGATAGCAACGCGAGTGAGGATAAGGGTCACCTCCGCATCACATATGCCAACAACTACTGGAAGAATGTTGGATCTCGAACGCCACTCTTCCGTTTCGGAACAGGCCACATCTACAACAACTACTACGACACGTAAGTGATATGATCCCATTCGTTGAGAATAAAAACATCTTTGGGCCTGTGACTGATTCATGAAAATAGTGTGTCCGTTTCCGGAGTCAACTCCCGAATGGGCGCTCAAGTCCTTCTTCAGAGCTCTGTCTTCAAGAACTCTCCAGTTGCTGTTACCAGCCGTGACTCAGACGAGAAAGGGTATGTCGTACTTTCACAGTCTTTCATCCATTGGAATTATCGCTGACACTCTTCCCACAGCGCTGTGGCCCTCTACGATGTCAACCTCGGTGGTGGTCTCAATGACGCTCCCGCCGGAACCCTGACTCCCGGTTCTATCCCCTACAGCTATTCTCTCCTTGGATCTGGCAGCGTTGCCTCCACTATCCCAGGACAGGCTGGCGCAATCCTTGGATTCTAAAGGCTACGTGGAAGAACTGATTTTATGTTACTTTGTTGAGGTGCGAATCACATCAACGTATCTTCGAGTGTTTGTGCCATTGCGCCGGGTTTACGCGGCAGCCATGTGGCCATTTATGTGATATGATATATAGCCACATAGCTTTCTAAATTTACCTAACCTACTTACCTCTATTATCTGAGAATCAATGGACTCATTGTTGATATCGGCCTGTAAGCTCGATTGCAACCAATTTGAGTTGAAGGAAGGGTTTCCAAATTGATGCTTCCTCGAACTTTCTCTTCGAATTATCTAAGCCTGGCAGCTTGGCCGCGACAAGTGAGTGACAACTTTAGACATTAAGCTGCTTAATTTCTCATGTCACTCACTCGCCGCGGGAATAAGTAGAAAACCCCCCATTCTTCGACTTTGCGTAGGAATATGGCATTTGTTGCATGTCTGCTGCTAAACTACCTTTATTTCCGTCGATTCAACGATTTTTAGCAGATTGGTTGTTTGGGAGATCTTGAATTTGCTCACGCTTAGCTAATTATCCCTCTTTAGATCCCGAACAGCTCTATCGAAGGCAGATTATCGAAGGCAGATGAGTGGCAGCCGGCAATATATGCCTCGGGTATCAATATGCTTACTGTGAGTTGAGTGATGGGTGGGGAAACCAACCCTCAACTGGCCGAATCACAGACTCTCACCGGGTATAATTATCATCATTTACAACCAGCAAAGTCACAAAATCTTTTCCCCGGCTCCACAAGGACCATCCTCCTTCCTCTTTTTACTTCATAAGACTGAAGTGTTATAGCGGATCCATGTGGAATTGAGGGAAAAGTCCGGGGTGTTTGCGGGGTAAACATACAAATATCTTTCCGAGCTTTCGGTCGTAAGTGTGTGCACCCGTCCTTTCTTATGCCTGGTATTAACGAAGGCAACCGCTCAACTGAATCTCGAATATAAACTTAGAAAACTTATTTCTCTGTCACACACTGTTTCAACTCATTTCATCGTCGATATCGCCGTCATGAGTGCAGAATATCCAACCGGTTCTCCTGGAGCGCCGCCGAAAGCATCTGATTCGGACACTGAAAATGCTCAAGTGACCCAGTTGGAGATAGGAGACCAACGGTCCAAAATTGACGAGAAGAGGACATTGAGGAAAATAGATCTTCATGTGATCCCTATCGTCACCGTCCTCTACCTTCTCTGCTTCCTGGACCGAGGCAATATCGGCAATGCCAAGATCGAAGGTCTTATTGACGACCTTAACATGACTGGGCAGGAGTATAATATGTGTTGTAAGTCGACTAGCCGCGGAAAAAGCGTCTCGTGGGTGGCCACGAAAGCTAAAACCAGACGCCTTGCAGTAACGGTATTCTTCTTCACGTATGCCGCCTTCGAGTTACCGTCGAATCTGGTCTTGAAAAGACTCAGACCATCAATATGGCTCCCAATTATCATGATCGGAGTTGGAGTCGTTATGGTGAGATATTCCTGCAAGGTTTATGACTACTCGTTCCAGGTGCTGATAGGAGCCTTGCTAGACATTGATGGGGATTGTGAGAAACTACCATGGGTTGCTTATCTCGCGAATATTTCTAGGCGTAACCGGTAGGACATAAATTCTTATTGAACCGGATCATAACTGCTGACAAACCTCTAGAGGCTGGTCTCTACCCCGGAGTTGCCTTCTATATCACGATGTGGTATTGCCGCCATGAAGCGCAGCTTCGCCAGGCACTCTTCTTCAGTGCAGCTAGTGTTGCCGGGGCATTCTCTGGCCTATTAGCATTTGCTATCGCTGTAAGTTTATGAGAAGCGCATAAAGTGTCTATCTTACCTTACTGTTCTGCTCTTATGTGCTCTTCGAAAGCTAACGATCCACCACCAGAAAATGGACGGAGTAGGAGGCTTAGAAGGCTGGCGTTGGATATTTATTCTGGAGGGTATCCTAACTACCCTGGTAGCCCTTTCGTCGTTCTATTTCATCGCAGACTACCCAGACACTGCCAAATTTCTGACGGAGGATGAGAGAGCCTGGGTACTTCATCGATTGAGGGAACAATACTCTGGAAATGTCCAGGAATCGGAGAAATTCCAGTGGAAATATGTCTGGGATGCAGTTACAGACTTCCAGATTTGGCTTGCTCTGATCAGTGAGTAGCGAGCCTCCTCGTTTTCCCAGTTGAGTAAGACGAATAACCTCCTGTTTCATTAGCTTGGTACGGCATGGTCTGCCCGATGTATGGAATATCGTTCTTCTTGCCGACCATCGTCCGGGACCTGGGCTACACCTCATCACAAGCTCAGCTCCTTACAGTAAGGACGATTGACCAGGAAAAAGCTGCTATGAGAATAATCTAACTGAAATTGGGAAACTAGGTTCCGATCTATGTTACAGCAGCTATCATTGCGGTTGTTTCAGCATACTTCTCAGATCGCATCGGCAAGCGTTCGCCTCTACTGATTTTACATCTTTCGTGCATATCCATTGGGTTTCTCATTGTCATCTCGTCAGCTGGAAGGTCAGTGCCAGGAGTTGTATACTTTGGCATTTTCCTTGTCGTATGCGGTACGTAATTAGATTTATCGGAAACCGATGTGAGAAAAGGTACTCAACGCTGACTGTTAAAATAGGAATATACCCAGCACTTCCCGGAAATGTAACGTGGCTGAGCAACAACTTGGCGGGTGACTATAAGCGAGCTGCCGGAATGGCTCTTCATATTGGCGTTGGGAACTTTGCTGGAGGTGAGTTTCGATCAATTGCGACGGAGAGAATTGGTCTCTAACAAGGTACATAATAGCCATGTCATCCAATTTTTACCGAGCTCAAGACGCTCCTCAATACTATCTCGGACATGGACTGGAGCTTGGGTTCTCCCTTGCTGGAGTTATTGCGGCAGTTGCTCTTCGATATGCCTACAAGCACGTGAATAAGAAACGGGAGGAGATAGATGTCAGATCCTTGACCGAAGAAGAAAAGGCAAGGCTTGGAGACAAATCGCCCACGTTTCGATACATGATATAAAAGAAGCAGGGTCTCACCATTAAGCCCCGTAGTAGGGTTACCTGGCTTCTGTCGCCTTCTGTCGCCTTCTGATCGCCAATTGAGAACTTGCCACACTTAGACTACTGGGGTTTTGAGGCCTCCACTGATCAGACTGTGGAGGTTTATCGTGCCCAGTATCGGAATTATAGAGAATTATCCCGCATTAATGCGAGGTATAATTCGCGCGTTTCATACAAGGAAACGTGCAATTGCAATCACCAAGAATGGAATATTAGATATGTACCGCATTCATTACCAAGTCTTGTTATAGATTTATTAAATTCAATTCCAATGCTTTGCGATTTATAAAATACAATTACTCCCCCGTCAACTCCTCCAATGTCGAGTCAATGAATGCCCTTTGCTCGATCAACCATCGCCGGGTTTCTTCCGTGTCAAAGGGGCGACGAGCGGCCACTCGCGTTCTCTCACTCTTCTGCTTGGCGCGGACGCGTTCCTCTAGAATTTCGAGGCGGTACTCGGTGTACTGGGTATACATTTCAGACTTGTGGCTGATGCCTCGGACTCCGGTGAGGACAGTCTCGTCGCGAACATGAGGCGACTTGGGACGGAAGCATGTGACCATGCTGATGCGCTCGCGCCCGCCAAGGGCCTTTAGTGCTTGGTGTTCAATGTATCGACCCTGGAGAACAACTGCAGTACCCTATAATGACTGCTTAGTTCTCGTCACAGTTGTTACGTGGGGTTATTTGAGTAATCTTACCATCGCAGGACCGCGAACCTTCATGATCTCACCTGAGGAGGTTCTCAGGGCAGTCTCGCCCCCAACCATGTCGGTGCAATCGGAGAGCATCACTACGCAGACGAAAGGGAAGCTGTCGTAGTGCCAAGCGACACTGGAAAGGCCATCGCCAAGAGGATTTCCATCCTCTTTTTTGGGCTCCGCGACAGGCTTATCACCGCTGTTGACGGAGATGTTGATGTTGGCAACTTCGAAGTCGAATGAAGGCACGACGTCGATACCGGCGACCTTGGAAACAGCGGCAATCAGCTCGGGCGAATTCCATGCGGCATAAGTGAAAGGAGCTCGACTATTCTCGGGTTGTTAGGATCGAATTTCCGGGGTAAGAATACTATGGTTTCACTTACGCGGGGCCCATCCCTCTGACCATCTGCTTATTGAATGTGGAAGCAAACCGACAATCCTTCAAAACCTCTTCGCTGAAAACCTCAGCTCGGATCTGCTGGACGGCCTCGTCGGTGAAAAGACGGAACGGCTCGGAGACGGCATTGGGTGATATTCCGTGGCCTTCGAGTCCAATCTCCTTCATAGAAACAATGTTTGCGGGGGGCTGAAAGTTGATGTGCTTCGGGGCGTAGAATTCTTCTCTTCGGGTGCTTCTGGCTTGGTCGAGGAGGTATTGAGGTAGAGGTTCAGATGGAAGGGTGACATTCTTGGTTGCAGGACCAATAACATGGGGAGCCGGGGGAGGCTGAGCGACGAGAAGGCCGGGCATTTTGCTGTTATGGAATCGGTGTTCTAAGATTGAATCGAATCGGTGTCAAGTTTGAGTTTGCTCTTTGTGATCGTGCTTGTTCCTGTATTCTTGTCTTGTGAGGGAAAGAATCACGAAGTCAAAGATGTCGACGGGAAGCTTTATACTTGGACTAAGCCTCAAGACTGTGAATTAGGCACATCGTGGAGCTCGACTCCCGAGATCATTGCCAGCCCACAAAGACGCGTGCCCCATGGGGGCGGCTGGCCGGATGCTGAGCGACTGATTGTGATATTGTTGCCTACTAGTCTTGCAAAACGATTTCCCGATTTGTACAATTACTGAGATACTAGAACATTTTGCGTTTGGTGTTATCGAACTTGCTGCATATCCAGAGTTTGAGAAATCTCCGTAGGTGGTTGACTCTCCGGTAACGGTTCCCGAACCCTGTCACTCGGCCCCTGAGACTGACATGACTTACTGTGAGAATCAAGCCATTT